GGTGGGAAAAAGTTTAGCTAAAATATTGCTTTCGCTTTCAGACCTAGTTTACCTCAACGTGCTCCACATGCGCACACTCTCACTGTATTAGTATGTGACTACCACGGTTAATCAACTTAAACTATGCCTCGTGGTGAAACCATCTATTTAGTTAAGTTTTAATATAACAACTCTCAGTTAACTGTCGCTGCCCTCTTAACTACAACTTTCCTAAACCAGTTTCTATTTTAAATGAGTCACTCCAAAGTATTGAGGACCTACCCTATACCACAAGTACACGACATTCACAAAACAATTAGTTCGTCGAATAATATAGTTTTATTGTAAAGTGTGAAGATATATAAAAAAAATCACTGTACAATTGATAATGATACAATTTAAACAAAAACGTGTTTTTTTCAGTTCAAGACAGTTTACTTTAAACGATAACTCAATGACCTATGCAAATATACATAAATACTTTGAATTAAAATTACATGCCAATAATTTATGTGCATATATATAGATCATAGTTTCATCAGACAATTACTGTTTTACAGGAAAATAAAAAATGGACAATATACATATCAAACAAGTTTAATAACGCAATTCAGAAAAAAACAATTTCCACTCATCATATTTAGAAATTCTCTAGATTATTTCATTGCGCAAATATTGTTCACACACCTTCCTGTATACTCTACAACTATCACTCTAGCATATGGTTTGTCGTCTGTTAAACATTTACCCACTGCAGGGAGAAAACATCCTATTCTGGTCACTGTCAGTTATCGCTACAAATCTACCACGGATATCAAACTTTAGTATGTTATCATTGGCGTAATTACACACATGCATACCCATATCTCTGCCAGTCACGTGGCCTCTTGTTGGTTTAACTCACCCTCAATGTTTCTTTCAAATGTAACGGTAAATCGCGACAAGCCAAATGGGTCTAACACTTCGACACGATTATTATTTTATTCTGCTCTAAAAATGTTGCCACCAGAATTAACACCAATTCCATTTAATCCGTCTAGTCTCTCCTGACTGATTTCCCTTTCTGCCAAAAGACATACAGTAATCTCCTTCCTGGCTATACAATCTGATGCAATCTGAGCTTCTATCTGCAACATACATTTTCCCATTTCTTAGACTGATGGCAATGCCATGAGGATCATCTAGCTCATTGTTACCAAAACACCTTATTAGTATACCGGTGTCATCACATACAACCACCTGTCTGTTGATACGGTCCGTTGTGAATATATAACCTTCATTTGACACTGCTGAATACATTGGATGGAATGAATTTGAGGAAAATTCGTGAATGTAATAGTGGAATGAAAGACGCCATATAGAGAAGTATGATAGTTGTCAGAAATATAAACACAGTCTATAAATAAGTTTTGACCTGAAACTGTGTCCTACAGTTGATTGATATTTTTTTGAGATGCTTGTCTGTATGCTTGTCATAAGTAGTAATAATAGTTTCTGGAGGTTGGATCTGATGTATTTATACACAAATCCAAAGACCAGATGGTTCCAAATTCCGAAATCGTGCAGATGAGTCACACCAAACAAATTGCTCAATACCCACCTCGCGAGTGGCTTCTCTGAATACGAGAGTGCGCGATGCTAAAAATAGTACATAACGTCATTTTCAGCATTTATCAATACGCCGAGAAATAGCGCCCGCTGTTGACAACCGTGGTATTTTACGTTGCAATTTAGCAGAATAGCGTTTCGAAGAAAGATAATAGTTTTCTCTTTTTGAATCAGTTCATATTTACATCAAGATTTGTTCTATACCGAGTTTGTTATTAGTTCTTTTCCATATATTCAAAATGCCGACCTACACGGAATATGAATTCCTTGTAATGCATGCACACGGAAACAAGTTTCTAGAAAATAAAAGAAAAAAAATACCTAAAAGGTGCGTGTTCTAAGATGAAAGTGATATAAGCACCACATTAATAATAGCTGATAAGTACTAGAAAAGTGATCGACCGCGACACCCAACCAGTCTCATCCCATCTGTCGTTTCCATAAATGAATTGTATTTTGAATATTGACTGTGCCAACAATTCGCGTATGAAACGTTAATGCAGGCGTGAAATTTTTGTGGTGATGGAGGTATACAAAATCACCGTCCATTTGTCATGTTAACAAATCTTACTGCGTAATTGTTGGTAATGAAGAGTGGGGTTTAGTGAATGCTTTATTTTCCTAACTCTCGTTACCATGGCTACTACTGGGAGTCAATTTGGGTATACCCGCCGATAGAGGGCGTCACCTGCTTACAAAAGAAATGATGGCGTTGTTCTAAATATAGACCATGACATCATGTGTTATTTTTAGCAATATTTCGTATACAAATAATCTAACTTGACCCTGAGTCTGATTGGCCAACGAAGTGGTTATTTCGCAATTGCCATGGTACCAGTCGATGACTCATCAGCCAGATTTAGCAATTTGGAGCCATGTGTTTGCCTAAATTTGTGTATAAATTCTGCTGATCCTACCAAGGGAAATTATTAATATGATGACGAATCACAAGATAAGCACTTCAAAGAAGATGATTATTTCCAATACAGCGATGGAACACGATCATTCTACGAGAGAAAACTGCAACAGGTTCGTATCGACGCATTCATGAACATACATTCCTCTATTTCGTATTACAAATATATTCGTTTTTTTCCTCGGCTAAACATAACATTAATACAATTTGACTCTCCTGTCTTACTGTTTGTTTTGCTCTCTCCGCAGTATAAACATGTCTATTACAGTGAAAGCATATTTGCAGACTGCCGACGACAGTCAAGAAATTCGTCGATTTGCTGTGGATCAGGGTGCATCCACAAGCTACGAGTACCTGTCTACGAAAATAACACAGGTATTCCCATCTATTGGAAGATCGGATTCGTTCACACTCTCGTACAGAGGTAAGCATTTTATTATTTCATTACTTTTCTACATTCCATAAGCAACGACTCGGTAACCGAATATATGACACACTAATAGGCGTGTTTCAAATAAATATTTGCAAATTTTCGTAACTTATTTGTATTTCACAATTTGCCGTTATTACAATTATAGATAATTATAAAAAAAATTATATCACATTGTATCGGAACAATTGATTAAATACTAAATACGACATTGTAACAATTGAAAACTTGTATAGTTAATTTCCTTAACGCGATAGTAAACATGTACAGTTCATATCTGACCTCTGTTATTTACTAATTGGTGTCAGCTGCGACAGTTATTGTATACCTTTAAATTCCGCCAGTTAATATCGTCTGAAAACTGAGTCATAAAATATGGCCACTATTCAATTTTCAGAGAAATTCTTATTTAATGTTGTTTTGTGATATTTAGCGATGATTATGATGACGTGATCGGACAGTGATGTCATGAACAGTGTTCATTTATAGAATATTTACGTAAAATATCCTCGACTATACATGACTGAATATCCGAGTCGACTTCTGTGACAGTAGATAGAACGAAATGAAGTATATCTCATTACCATTTCAGATAGCGAGGGTGACTCGATCACTTTTTCCACTGACAAAGAATTGGAAGACGTTGTTGGCCAACTCAGTAAATATATCTTAAAAGTCTACATACGTCGTAAGTATATTTATTGCATGATGACATACTATATCAAAGAAATATAACACTTATAGAAATAAATAATAAATTTAACGCTCGTACATTGACGTCACTCACTCGCTTTTCGTCAAACGCAATACCCAAAACGTGTTTGACTCGTGCTTTTGGAAACCAGTTTGAAATGAACAGTAACCGATATCACGATTATACAAACACACACATTGCACATTGCGCATATTTAATGAATAACCAATATGACATCGTGAATTTGGCTTTTTCTATTGTTACATATATAACTTACAATGAGTTGCTGTTTTTCTCTTCAGTGACTGGTAAAAAGTATCACAAGAAAGTACATTATCCTCGAATAATGTGTGATGGGTGTGAAAACCGAATTGTTGGACCACGTTTCAAGTGTGTTGTGTGTCCTGGTTATGATCTGTGTAAAGGATGTGAGGAGAAAGGACTTCACCCAGATCATGAGATGATTAAGATTCGTAAACCACAGATTGGTCGTAGCCATATGAAGGTAAGTTTGTTTCATTATCTTTGCCAAAGTTTTAACCAAACTTCACATTAATGTAAATATATTAAAGAGAGGAAAACATTTATGCGCTATGTAATTGGTGAGCTTTATACAGTAATATAAATACTTCTATCTCATATTTAAGGACTGGTTGATAAAATTATTCAATATAATATTAAATAATTTACAAATATTTAATAAAATATTTGCTGTGTTACATTTTTATGTTGCTAGTTAGAATCTCCTCTTTTATGTTTATAGAGATTTTCTCGTCCTTGTATCTGGCGACTTCTCTCTGGTGGGTTTCAACATAAGGTGACTCCCAAATGCAATAATAAGTGGGGACAAAGGCAAAATATACTAGAGGAAACGCGTCCGGCTAATGATACACCAACCGAGGAGAATGTTCCTGAGAATACAACTGAGGGGATCAACCCACATCCGAAGTGTTTGAAACACGTTGGTGATGCTGACATCTTAGAACCATTAGGTAAGTTAGTTAAGGGGCAGCATATCAGATCTAGTACCATATCCATTGTCCATCTGCCTTTCACACATTCATAATTATGAACATGGCTAAACAAATATAAAACTTAAATTCTAACAATTTGCAAATTCGTTATTTGTAGCGAACCCCAAACGGAAAAGACTTCTACAACGAAAAGCTGTTTTCAAAAAGCCAACTGATGTTAGAAAGAACTATGGAGATAGTAAGACTGGAGAAAATAACCACCAAAGACATCGTTTAAACCAACCTGCAGGGAAATGTTCAACATTCCAAACATCTCCCAGATGTTGCAGAGACCGCAGCCGCAGTATGATAAACATGTCAACCCAACTAAAAAAATTCCGACAAGAACAGCAAATAAAGCGGTGCAGACGCAGACTTTCGCTAAGACCTTTCAGAGGCCACAAATGGAATAACCAAAGAATACTGCTTAAAACAGCACCATTCTCTGACGCTGAGCTATACAAAAAATTCCACCCATCACAGAAAGTCACAATGCCTATGAGAAACTCTACCACTATGACAAAACCATCCAAACCACACCGAAGCGTTGATCCCAATATGAAGTCCATACCAACGTGTGCCTCTGATGGTAAACAAGTCAAAAGATTGCACCAATCACGACGCATGTGGCATAACATAGGGAGATGTAGATCAACTGGTGGTAAAAAGTTCAAAAGACCCGATCAAGCACAACCAGTGAGACATCACACAAGATGTTCCACAATGACAAAACCATTCAGAGATCACCAAATCAAAATTCAGAAGATGACACCAAACCCTATATGTGTCTCCAGTGGTAAACGATTTAAAAGGTCTCACCAAGTGCAGCAACTGAAAAACCTGAAAGAAAGATTTTCCCCGGTCCTAGGACCATTCAGAAGTCGAGTCATTCGTCCCGTAATACCCAACCAAACCTGTGTCTCCGGTGGTGGGCAATTCAGAAGATTTCAACAAATGCATTGTCCTAGAAGAATGGCAATGTTCATTGCACAGAATAAACATTTATCCTCAAATATATCTCCTAGAATGAAACATAGTAAAGGTATGTAGCATATATTGCCATCATTAAAGTGCTAGTATGTGTTCCATGTCCAACGTTCCAACGTTACAAGTAAATTAATTAGTTTCATTTGTCATTACAGGTTTTGATGTTGATGTAGATCACCATGGTATGCGTGAACGTTTTTGGATGAAACAAAACCGTGGACATCCATGCGGAAGAGGTCCGCATGGTTCTAACGGGATTGGTTGTCATCGTTGTCAATGTTACAAAGCTCAAAGAGAGGCTCAAGCTACTGCTAAATAGATCACTGCTATTCAATAAAGAGAAGCTGTTAGAGGACAATAATGAAGACAATACAGCGTTGGACAATATTTATTTTGAAATTATTTGTACATTATAGACTAAATAGAGTGTGAAAATGACGGCTAAACGAAATATTGTTAAATAGGGGATAATTTCTTTAAACCTTTCCATTGTTATTCAAACGTCGATTTTACAATTGTAAATAAAATGAACAAAAGTTCAGATTATTGGTACTTCGACTGGAATAAAATCTTGAACTTAAAGCGAGGGTGATCACCTGAATTTCTGCGAGGAACGCACTGACATGCATTTTTATAGTTTAGTAATCGGTTTGTGGCATTGTGTTTTAATATTACATAGTCAATAATTATATATATTACATAATTACATATAATTTTATTTTGTTACTTACCTGCTATTATTGTTAGCAATAAAATAGATACGTTATTGATATATCATTTGTTTATATTTTAATTGTATGCATTTATATACTGTATGGCTATCATGGGTAGAACTGATATCCTGTGTATATTTCACAAGATGTCACTTTAAATATCATCACAAATTCAGGGAGCTACTTTGATAAAGAGAATTTTCGGATTAGAGAAATCACAAGCGCTTACAATTCCCGCAATAATAATTTGTCAAATTGCGAAAATTTTTCCCAATTTGCAGATTATATAAACCATGGTAATTTGTTTGTTCCATATTATTTTACATATGTAAAAGAGCACATCCCGCAGACATGTCGAAATGCGATATAGTCTACTTACTCTGTGAATAGGCGGTTGCACTTGCTGTACCCTATGTGACCCTTGCCCTCCCACAACTGATCAATGAAAACGCACACCAAATAATTGCGGAGCATATATGCCTAATCATTCGATGGACGAGAAGACAAATTCCGGTATTTTGTCAATGACATTATTATTGTGTCTTTTTGAAAAACTTTGAAAGGAAAAGGTCAGCTAAAATATGGTTTCGCTTTCAGAGCTAGTTTACCATCAGGCCCATCATACTTGAAGGCCGTAACCGCTCTTTTGTTTTAAAAAAATGTCCAGCAATTGTATTTTTACAGTCACGTTACGAATATCTTCAGAAAGTATTATAACATGCAATAACGACGAGAAGATGCGAACACTGATTAATGGAATAATAGTTGCCGCGTTTACGGACACTGTCGAAATGTCCTCGTATTTTAAGGAGTGATATTGTTTAAAATCAGCAAAGTTCAGTTCTGAGAGTCGGTGATCCAGGCCATAACGTCCCCTTATATTGAAACTGAGTTTGAACAAGTTTGAAACAGCAAACTGTTCGATCTTATGTAAACGAGTGCAAACTCAACACTGTACAAACACAGGTTTAGATTTCCCTGTATTGACTTTTTTCAATTTAATCAACAAAAGGCGTATAATAATAAGGTCATAAAGAAAATTTACTTTGCGTCAATATCGTAAATGCCGGTATTTTATGAATAGTCTCATATTGTGTACTGTTATATATTTACATTATGCACATGGGCACGTTTTTTGGTGGTTTAGAAAGAAATTTAATAATAAATGTGAACTCACAAAAATGTGTTGTGATAAATAACGTTTGTTTTATAAATAATAATACCTGTAATTATGTTGTAATTATGCTGTTTATTACGAATAATACTTGATTAGCTAGTTTCGCCCCATCTCATACCAAAATGCATCACTAGTAATTTCAGTGAGGGTGGTTGTATCAGGTGGCTTAGAATCGGGGAGTGAACATTTTGCAAAGAAATAACCTGCATTGTGATTGTAATATCAATCAACTTCACATGTTATGTCTATGGTTTCTAGAATTATAGATGGAATGTACAACAAGTGGATGTAGGAGTACCGGTAAATATTCCTCAATTCGTAACTCAAAACATTACAGTTATTCTTACTGTATTAGTATATGACTACCACGGTTAATCAGCTTATAACTACACCTCATAATGAAACCATCAATTTATTTAATAAGTTGTAATATAACAGCTCAAAGCTAACAGAGAGTGCTGCTACCCTACCATTCACAGCTATTCTAAACAAGTTCCAATTCCGAATGACTCACTCTTAAAATAGTGAGGACATACCCTATACCGGAAGTAGAAGACAGAGATGACATTCATATAAAAACAATTATTTCGTCGAAGAACATATTGCATTTATTATTGGAAAGTGTGGTTATATAAACAAACATTTATTGTACAAATCATAATGATTCAATTTAAACAAAAAAGTGTTTCAGTTCAAGTTTAAAACTACTAGTATGCGAATGCGTACATGCTTTGAATTAAAAGTACATGTATATGCATATAATACATATATTATTGGTAAATCAAAAAAACTAACATTATACATGTAATGTCAAAAAAAAATATTTTTAAAATTTTGAAGATTAATAATGCAATGCACACTAACTTTTGTTGACTTGGTTATGATGAGTGTTTTGGGACATCAGCATATAAGTATTTCATATAAGTTTATGGTATGTGTATGTGAAGGCAAACTAATTTTGAAGAATTTGAAAATAGCGCCATTTTGGAGAATATACAATAACTGTACTTTGTATAAATATTTATTACATCAAACAAACTCCACTCGTCATAACGAGTGTTTATGTAGCTTGCGTTCATTGCGCAAATATTTTCACATACCTTCCTGTATACTCTGCAACTATCACTCTAGCATAAGGTTTGTCATCCGTTAAACATATACCTTGGGGGAAATCACCTTATCTTTGTCGCTATCAATTCTAGCTACATATCTACCACGACTATCAAACTTCAGTATATTATCATTGCCATAATTACACACATACATACACATATCACTGCCAGTCACCACGTCTTCTGGCTGGTTTAACTCACCCTTGATGTTTCCTTCAAAGGTAAATAGTGACAAGCCAAATGGCTCAAACACTTGTACACGATTATTATATTCTTCTGGTACAACAACATTGCCATCGCAGTTAACATCAATTCCATTCAATCCGTCTATCTCTCCTGACTGATTTCCCTTTCTACCAAAAGACGTACAGTAATCTCCTTCCTGGCTATACAATCTGATGCAATCTGAGCCTCTATCTGCAACATACACTTTCCCATTTGTTGGACTAATGGCAATGCCATGAGGATCATCTAGCTCATTGTTACCAAAACACCTTATTAGTCTGCCGGTGTCATCACATACAACCACCTGTTTATTGATACGGTCCGTAGTGAATATATACCCTTCATCTGACACTGCAGAATACATTGGATGGAATGACTTTGGAAAATTTTTGAATGTAATAGTGGAATGAAAGACGCCCTACAGTTGTATTTTTTTACTGGCACTATCACAAACTAAAATATTCCTTTTCTTGGTCAATGCTACACCAAAGGGATAAGATAGTTTCCCTAATCCTGGGCTATTTCTACCAAAATTACAAATCAATCCTTTTCTCGGAATTACATTTATGCTGACAGGTGACCCCATCACTGGTTTATTATATGATGATACTGACAGTTCATAATCACCCACATTTTCAGCTTTAAATTTAAATTCTACTGACCCATCATGGCTATTTTTTATTGTCATATTAACAGGTTTGTCACTGGGTGTCTTCAATGCAGCCTGTATACAGTCAAGTGTAATCGGTTCTTTTATTTTCAACTTGTTTCCCATGGTAACGATGACATCATCTTGGATTCTCACAATATTAGGATGAGAGTGAATACCAAGACAGTGGTGAGTCGATATCACCCCAATGTCTGCAGTTTGGTTTACTTTCTGTGATGGACAGAACTTTATGTAGTCACTTTCTTTTGGTTCTTGTATAATGCACATTTCTAGTAGTCGTGGTAATTCTGATGACATGCTTTTCTTAGCAGACATCAAATGTGATGCATTTCCGTGAGTCAGTAGATTCTCAGCAAATTCTCTTGTACGAGTTAAATCACTGGTTGATGTCTCCAGTTGTTTCAGTTGAGCTTTCAAGTTACTCTGCATCACTTTATGCACGTCTTCTATCTCCTTCATCAGTGTTGCTCCATTGTCACGTATTTTACGTGAGGTTTCTTCCATCATCTTCTCTACAAACTGACAGAGCTTTGATTCTTCCTGCTTGAAATTGGATTCGAGTGAATCGGACACCTTCTGTACAGAGACTATACTTTGTCTTCCCTCTTTTTCCTTCACTTTCATTTCCTTTACCATCACACTTAATTTCTCTTTAAATTCTGATGCTGCATTATCCAGATACTTGCAGTGATGATGATGGTGGTCGATCACAGTACACTCTAGACAGATGGCCACTTCACATGTGTCGCAGTATAATTTTATCTGATTATCCGGATGTTTATCACAGTAAACAGCTGAGTGGAGTTGCCCTGTCTTGTCCGACTTGTATTCTTCCAGTGTTATGATTGTGTGATTTCTGGTAACTGGAAACTTGGTATGAGCACGTGCACAGTTGTCACATACATCCATTGCACAATCCAAACATCGTTTAATGACTTCTGACTCTGCGCACGCTGTACATTTTATCGGCTGACAGGTATTCTCATCTCGTACATTGAAAACCTCTACTAACTGATTAATAAACATATTATTTTCTACATTTGAGATGCCGCCAGGAATGTCATGTTTACGTCTACACAGAGGACATATAACAACGCCAGGAAGTCCACTCCTTGAGACCATCGTAACGAGACAATCTTCACAAAAACTATGTTGACACGGAAGTAGTTTCGCATTGGTATAACGATCGGAACATATCTCACAGTTTAAAAGGTCTTCGTCAAGCTCCTCAACCAATTGATAGGGTTTAGAAGCTGCCATGACTCCAGAAAGTTAAATTTACTTACTCAGTCTCGCCCACTACTAGAGAAGTCAACAACTTATCAGTTTGTACCGTGTAGTGTCAGTGTAAATAATTGTCTCGGAAAATGGCAGCATGACTCCCTAGAAGTAAATAAAATAACACGATTCCGTGTAACACGCCTCTAGATGATATTGTTTGTGTTCAGGCCTGGTTTGTGTTTGATATACTATGTATTATTTGCTCCCCTAGAGGGTTCATAAGTAACTTACTTAGGCCACATGATAGTACAGAGCCTTTCGATTTACTCAGGTTACTTCTTTTTATGATATAACGCCCCACTTCGGGGAATTTTATGTTACTTGTCAAAAATTAAGTTGTACATTAACTGTACGTATGTATTGTGAATACCATAACTCTTACATTTACTACAGTACATATATTATTTGACATGTCAATACCTTCAAACAAAATTCACTGAGCCGACAAAACAACTTTAATAGAGGCGGTGGCACGAAATTTTGCATGAGGGGCGAGATCTGCTCACCAACATGCTCCCCCTTAACAAATTTTAAATCTAGACCCACTGAAACGATATTTCCTGCATTTTGAGGGATAAATTATGCTGACACAAAGGGTTTCAGCTTGCAATTGATTCTGGAGGGACGACCCCCTCCAACTTTTTTCGAGGGGCCACCGCTCTGCCACCCCCACCCCCCTCGTGCCACCGCCACTGTTTAATAACACACGACATCCCATGGTCATCTATAATAATGTACGCATGTACGTGTGTGCATGCGTTACCCCCAGCTACCTCTGTTTCCGCTTCGCTACCGATTTAGTAAAGCGGGGAAAATAGACAGCCGAGGAAGTAGATGCGTGTGGTCGAATATTAACTGTCTTTATTGCATTGGCATACCTTGCCAAATAAAGTGGAGAATATAGAACCCCATTTCACTTTAAATGACCTGCCCTTGAGAACAACAAGGTCACCTTGATAGGGTGTATCGCACGAAATCATTCCTCAAGCATAAAACAGTTAATGATACTGGTCAATAATGGCGGTCACATTTGGCCACTTGGAGCTAGTATTCTTGATGTCGGCCCAGGCTATATCATCAGAAAATATAATAAATATTGACATTGGCCTCTGTCAACGTATTTCTTGCCTCTGGCGTCATTTGTGTGTCATTCGACTATGATGTCACAACGTCCGGAACATTTAGTTTATCGCAAACAACAACAAAATTGGGCGCACAGTTTTACTTCGTTTATACTGCCTCGTTGTTCTCTTTCGGGATAAAGAAATAGTTATTGCCCTTCTGGCTTTGGTCATTAGTCATAGCAGTTTGTGGTACAGTAAACTGAAATCTTCTTTTCATTTTAACTCATGCTAGGAATCCGCTTACTATACACAGAAGCGAACAAATGTAGGAAGTTTCAAATAAAAAGTTTCGAGTTAAAAAATGACAATGATGGGTAATATAGCGTGTATCACAAAACATTGTTGTTGTTGTTGTTTTTGTTTCACATATGACCTTGTATAGTAATAAGCGGTCTGTATTGAATGATAACGAGCAGAGTAGAGCAGTTTTATCTAAAAAAAAATAACTTACCATCATCTGAATTTAAAAATTGTATAATACTGAAAAAGATGACATAAACAATAAACATGTTTGTTTTTTTTGTAATTAATCATTCACCCGCTGAATGCCAATATTGTCGGTTTGTGGAAACATATTTGGTTGTCTCAGACTCCGGGTTCTCACTAAAAACAATAATCAAACAATAACTTTGGTTATAGTCAAGTGTAAGACCATATAGTCGGGAGAATTTGAAGGTACAAATAACGCATTTACCAAACATTACAAATACTATACGTGCAAAATACCCGGGCAAAATATTGTCAGTCATGAAATAAACAAAATCAATCGAGTTGGCAATTACCTAGAAGACGAAAATGATTTTTTAACCCAATATGACAACATTGTTCGTTGAAAAAAAAAAGGAAATTGGGATGCCGTCACGAAATGAAATCGTTGTTTTCAAAAAATCAAATACATTTGTTGACGGATGACTAGATGAGAGAAGAGCTAATTTAAAAAAAAAAAGGTCGGTGTAAGTTCTTTTGAATGTTTCTACAGATACCTATATAATTGACAAGTAATTCCTACTATAGTCACAGTAACCCCCAGAATGTATAGTGGCCAGATTACGAGGGCTCTTTTGGGATATATTTGAACCAGAAGAGCCCAAGTGCGATAGCAATATCTGGTTTAAAACCCAGCACCATAAACCATGTATAGTTATATATTTTTGGGGAAATTCTCTGAAGTATTGAATAACGAGTATTGAGTTGTATGAGCCATTCTTCTGCCAGAATTATATATGTTATGGCTTGAATTATGCTTTTAAACATTTTTTGAGTTTTTATAAATTCGGCAATGAATGATGATGTATTCCCCCCAGACACGTTGCTCAAAAAGGGGACCCACTCCTACCACTTTTCCAGGCAAGCCCCCCTTACATGTTCAAGGTCTGATAATTAATGAATGTCAAGATGGTAGATTATTTTGCGTTCCCGAATTCTCTCATATCACCATGGTTGTAGTCCACCCATAGCACGTGTTAATTCATTTTAACGTACTGGTAGGCGTACGATAACTGCCAAATACAATGATTAACGTAGCCATATTTCGAAAACAAATGTCAGCCCTAAAATAAAATAAAATGAATTCAATTAAGCTCAATAAAGTTTTGACAATAAGCATAATAAACAGATGTACAATTTCAATATGTTATTGGTTGAATATAGGATGACGCCCGCTGGTGGCGTGAGTTTACACAATGTCAGATCATAATGTTTACCCCGCTAAACGACTTCTGGTGGGATGTATCAAAGCATTTCACAATGTTTTAGTATCACAATCACAAACTATATAAATATTAAACTTTGTTCTATTCTCTTGTCGCGACACTGCCTCGGGCTACCAGCTAATGCTTTCTGGACAATTTTAAAATACTTTAATCCAGCTGATACCAGCCCTAAGTGAACAATACTTGCCATTTTAGTCGCAAGGGGTGCCTGGAACTTTTTTCTTGTGTACTTTTTGAATACATGTACTGCCCTCTAGGGCAACGATTTGCAAGAACTGTTGGCAATATTAATTTTGTAATTTCTGGTTCATATGATTAACACAGCCGTGAAATCATTAATAAAGGACTTCAAATTATATATGGCCCGATCCCTGCCCAAGGTGATGCCATTGCATTGGTGCCTTCCAATTTCATATTTTGGACCTGTAATTGTAGAATAACTAAAATTTAAGCATTGCACCATAGTAGATTCTCACTATCACACCAATTCAGAAGTATAGTTTGGGCAATTTACCACTTACCTTATATCAGTAAGTCTGTTAATCCACCAATATGCCAACCGCACAACTTTTACTTACTGTAGGAATTGACAATATTAAACTACTAGTACTCGTTCTGGCAGTGTATTTACTTCTATCATTCCAGTCTTTCGTCTCTATGTAGATTTGTAATCAGTTTCTGTGATATGCAAATTAATAATCACTGTAGCTGTTTTCACATGCAGTTTAGTAATTGCCAGATGGTTTCATATGAATATTAGGTAGACTGGCCCAGCTGTGGTGATTTTTTTTAAAAAAAAGGGAAAAAATAGTTTTGCGAAGGGTGGGTTGATTGCGACACCACCACATTGGGTGATTTCACGTTAGTGGATTTCGCGTTAACACCTCCATTTTGCTATTTATTTTTATTTAATTTTAAAAAGAAATAAATCACCCAGACTGTGCCAGTCTAGGTAACAACCAAAGTTATGGTATATGGACATAGATATTTTGCATACTTGTTTGTGTCAAGAATTTCTGAACTTTGAGCTTGCCAGGAGTCAAGGTTTGAAATTTTGAAGGCAAATGCTATTTCTTTTTCAACTATTGAAAAAGATGGCCAAACGAGGTTAGAACCATGACTTTTGTATTGGCAGACAGTATCAGGGATTTGGTTGAGATGGCTATACAGACACGCACAACGCATTGAATAGTCTTTTGTGTTTATGCAAATGTACCCTTCCAATTAGTGTACGAGTATACATGTATTTACTTTGCGTTTTTGTCGCGAATGGTACAAGTTGTTAGTTTCTCTTTATAGCCACGTCACTTCAAGTGTAACAGCGACACTTGCGGTCATCATTTTGTTTGGCCTCATAACATTTTACAAGACACTGACCGTAAGAGTGGTTGTTATACTTGAAACAGCGTGGCTACTTGTGTGATTAACTGATAGTTGAATGATGGCAAGAAGGATGCTAATGGCCAGTTTTTGGTCTCTAGTAAACATCAAAGACCCGAGGAAGTTCAAGTTGCCATACTTAGAGTGATAATGCGAATTAGGCCAGAGTTTTTTCTACAGCTCCATTGCCGGTTGTGTTTATTCACAGCATGCATGTTACGCAACTTCTTTTGAATAGGACACGAGGCCATGACTTGCAGCATGTCATGGTGGACTTCTTGTTGCATTCCACCACAACTCCCCTCCCGGCACTAAGCTAGGAAATTATTGATTTAAATCCTGAGTGTTGCTGATCTAAAAATAACCTATTTTTAAAAAATTAGGGGGGGGGACCTATACTTCCCATCATGCAAGTACAAGATTGTTCAGGAAAAAGGGTAAACTAGTATTATTCAGAACAAAGAGTATTTTCCTACTAAATGCTGAACGAAAACTGCCTGCAATTGAAGGTTAGCAGACTTAATAATAGAGGCAAGCAAAAAAGTTACATTACTACCAGTATACTAATACAATACTTAACTCGGCTGTACATAACTTTCAAGCATGGCAGAAATCCTTGTGTGATCAACAAAATAACACAGTAAAACAATGAAGTGCAGTCTCCAATTAAAAATTTATTCACAAGATGAGATGCAACCCATAAACAAAAAATATGTTATATTCTTTCATAGAATATCTTGTACTTGCTCAAGAATAATTACATACAAAATTTGTTTTGTAAAACTGTAATAATCATTTATCATTAAAATAAATAGCTACAGCCTAACTACTAACTAGTGTATTAAAGTATAAAACTGTTTGAATTAGCGAGTAGCAATTGCCGAAGAACCACTATTTAAACGCATAATCATTTTATGACAATCCTGCAGGGCACGTTTGTCTCCCAGTTTTTCCAGAGACTTGGCAGCTTCAGCAAGCATGCTTTCCTTCTGACCAGGTGTTGACAATAACTGTTCTGGTAGATGTCGGCATGCTATCAACAGGGCTGTAGCATGTTCCCTCTCTCCGACAATACTCTCACTCACTTCAGTATCTGAAGTAAAAACAAACAGCAGTGTAGAGAATTAGTTTGAAAACTGTGACAAGTACAACAGGTAGAACATTTATTAGGAGTTCATCTCTAATAGAAGCACACATCAAGCAACAGTTGCTTGTATTTGTACACTGGATCATTTAAAATACAATTTGACAATAGACAAGCATACATTACTACAAAAGTAAATATGGCAAGTGATCTATTGAGTTGAATTTTGTTTTTTAGGCTTATCACAATTAACACTTCCTAAATTCAGCTAAATTTCCTGCATTCTTCCTACTTGTTCAGGCATGATAAACATGAATAAATAAATTGCCTGTATTAGAATCTGGTATATTCCCTTTCAGGCAACTAATAATTTTACAGTCAATTGTACAGTTAATAACCACTTTTATATCTGAATAACTGAACAACCCATTGAATTTTGCATTTTCGACCCACTTTTTTAATGTGACTACTTTTGTGGCTCTAAATGGCCACATGACTTTTGTATAAAAGGCCAGAATTAGGAAAGATGATTGAATTTTACACTGTCTACAATGACATCTTGATCAAAAAATGTTTTCTTCATTTCTATCATCATCAAAGTTAGAAGTCAACATAATAATATTTCAGTCATAAAATAATATATCAATCTCTATATAAAGATCGTCTGAGGTTGCTATAGATAGGTTTGACTGTACCAAAATAAACTCCCACTACCAGGGCTATGTTTAATTTATTTACCATTTGTATTCTGGTTCTTGATGCAACGTCTTCGTAAACTTTTATTAAGTAACTGCTGAGTTCGGGCTGGGTTAGCACCTGCCATTAGTCGGGCTGTTGCTTCATGCAGATAAACTTTTGGCAGTGCTGATTTTTCAATTTGTGCCAACTTCTTAAGACTGGCAATGTCTTGTTGGAATGATAAAAGCTCTGTTGGGCTGCAAATGTTACTCTCTGGGGCATGGCTACAATGCTTCTGCCACACAGCCGTACGTGTTGTCAACAACCAGTCGCAAACCAACAGCTGAACAACCTAATGGCGAGATTAAGACAAAGGATAACGTCAGATTCATGTTAATGAAACAAGAAACTGCCTTCTTTATATCACCACAGAGTACAGCCAAAAGACAGAGCTCTATCTCATATCATGTGAACATTCTGAGTGCACCCAACCGCATGCAAACAATTCTTTAATTGATCTAAATAAAATGACTATTAATGCAACTCCTACAACCACACAAAGAAAGTATGAAGTAACCAATATGAAAGTGGTTCATCAAAGGCATAGCTAATGTGGCGTAGGCAAATTTTGAGCCACACATCAGAGATTGCTCATCTCAGTGATTTTTGATAGTTATGTGTAGTTTATAGTGAAACATTTTAATCACAATGAAGCTAAACACACCTCAATGCTGGTATTTGGAAATGGTGAATGGTCTTGGCTCTGTGTTTGCACTGCAGAAGCACTGCAGAGTGTATCGTACATGCAATGCAACTACAATGCACCACAGAGACAAGCAATGTCCTCTTCTTCCAACTTCTTTTAATCATGGATACGGTAAATTACCCCAATAGTAATATTCAGCATATGTTAGTTTTTATTTTCAGCAGAAAAAGCTTCATATGCAGAACATACATCCCAAATTGCAAGAAATGAGTACATCTATTTACCTGTGTGATTTTATCTGCTGACTGATTTGCACCATGTCCAATACTTTTTCTCAACAGGGAACTGGCTTTGTCACATAGTGGTATGCATTTGCGTATACTGCTTTCTGTCAGAAAACTCTGTGCAGCTTTGAATGCTATCAATACGGCTTTACCAATAGGATCTTCCGAGTCTAACACTTGTTTTGGAATGCACTCTATGCTACCATACAACCTCTCAGCTGCATCATCATCACCAGCCAACCAATATGAAGCAACGGAAAGAACGTTACACCACCACTTAGCTACTGGATCTTCCCCTGTAGATTAAATGAAAAACTTGTATAAGATTTACAATAGAACTTGCATTATTATCTATTATTATCAGACACAAGTCTTCTTTTGTACATTACACTGAAACATAAACATTTACACAAAAACACTTCAAATTGACTTTCAAATAAAGGGGTGATGAAATGCTTTATTTAGGTGTATTTTTACAATACCATAACTTTGAATTAAATACACGAAATGAACTGTAAATGTATACATAATGTACATTAAAAGTTAGAATCCGATTGATCCAGGCACATCCTTCATATGTGCAAATGGGTGTGCAGATATATGTATGCTGGGTTAATTTATAGGCACTTTGTCCAAATGGAGACTAATTAATGCTGACAGTTGACATATGGTGAATATGAAAACCTAGTTTTAACTGTAATGTAAACCTGTGGGAATGTATAATGGAAATGTTGCATGGGGATTGTGATTCAACTCACCAGTAACAGATGACATACTACATCCAATGGCAAAACTTGTTTTTTTCGGAGCACCAGCAGAATCAGCACATTCTCCCAACAGCTGCAGATACTTTAAGGCATCAGAAGACTGGCACCTGTCACAGAGGAAGATAAATGAAACTCAATGTCAATTCCTCAAGCAGGTCATGCATATAGAGTTAACATAAAACATGGAAAGCTGACAAATATGGTTTAAATTCTTTGATAATGCTGGGTGTGCTTAGTGGATGGACAAATCACAAACATCTACTCACCCTGATTTTCCTTTATTATCCTCAGCAACAGATGAAGTGTTATAATTACCACTGCTGGACCCTGGAGTGACGAGGGAATACAGTGCTTTCTGTAGCAAGCACTCTCGAAAAGCCTGGCTGACATAGGCAAGTGGATCAGCTGAGATAAAAAAAAAATTCGTACAATTGAAATAAGACAACAAATAATAGTTTTCTATGAAGATTTATACCACATCATCATTATCCCGATAACAAATAGTTTTATAAGACATCTACCAAAATGGTGAAAACAAATTTACTTTAACCATGCTCACCAGGGTTGCCAGTAATACTATACAGTCCTTCCTTTGGTTGGTAACTCCAATCTCCATCCACAAAGAACCTGTGACCAAAGGGGTGACACAGCCATTGTAGGGATGCAGGCATATATCCTGCATTGATAGCACAGGCATGTCTTGCACAGCTCAGAAAGTATCTCTGTGAGAAATGAGCATTTGAAATCTATCTGTAATGAATGGCTAACATTTACACCCATATTTAAATCACAATACTAACAACAATATTATATATTTGTAATTTTGAAAAGAGGGTGGTTCATTATCCTGCGATTTTTAATTAAAGTTTGAAATATTTAAAGACCATAAATTATAAACAGATTTCAATACTTACAGCAAGAAAATGCATCCTCATTGGAAAACTGGTTTTTATTCTCAAAGCAGCCATAGTGTATATTTCTGCCAAGGTTTCTTTGCTGATTGCATCACCTGCACACTCTGCCAGATTGACAGCACTCAAGGCAAGATTGATACCACTGATTATACCATCAGTTTCATGACCTACAAAAAAGAACACTTAGGGATTAGTGTTACAGTCAATCTGCAAGCACCAATCCAGGTCATAAACTAGGTGATTTAAAGTTTACACTAGTAGAAGATTTATAGCTTTGTTTTTCACTGACCCTACTTCTATTTCTAATAGTGGTAGAATCTATTTTCAGAGCACTGCTAACAGTAGGCCAAGGTCAATAGAAGGAATGAGAATGAGGAATCAAAATTCTTTCACAGTTTCCATGGTCTGATACAGAGTATTTTTTACACAAGGTATTTCAATTCATCATTTACTATGATGGATCGGTCCCTGATTATGAATCTCCGCTTTTGATTTTTTTTATTGTACACTTTCTGGTTAATTACTCAATATCATTGGAGCTTTACAGAATTAGGTTAGCGTTTAATTAACAAGTACATTATTACATGAACTGAAACAGTAAAACAGATTAATCCACACTGGTTTTTTTTCCAACTTACCAGTCATTTGCAGTTGATGTAATCTATGATAAACCAATGCTCCATCTTTTGCAGATAACTTGGCATCAATCTTCTTATCACTTGTGCAGTTACTGAACAATCCTCCAGCCTTGCAAGCTAACCATTTGCCAACCCAGATACGATTCAACAGCTGTCTAGAGACATTCCAGTAAGTGCTGGCAGTCAAGTCCAGTTTAGAAGTTGGCAGAGGTCTTCCCAGGGCAGTCAAGCACGTTCTCAGATGACCTGCAGCTGCTGAATGATCACCCTGGATAAAAAGCACAAATACCACAATTACAAAGTGTGTTTTATACAGCTTACAGGTCACAGATGTGAACAATAAGCCTACTGAATAAAAAGAAAATAATTTTTCACTGCTTTGGCTAGACATGTGGCATACCAGTTAGCCCATAATCAATATGCAGTCTACAGTAGATTTATTTTCTAAAGCCTTGTATGAAAAAGGTTTGTTCAGTTACTAAATTTGTCACCAGATGATCAACTTTTCCCTAAATGTCATATTTTAAATTAAGTTACTGTAAAATACATTATTTTAGCTGGAACTAATTTTCGCTGAAATGACTTTTTGGATCTTTTGTATGGAATTTATTTTCACTGATTTTTGAATAGGTTAACGTAAAATATAGGAAAAAAGGTATATTCGCTGGATTTTATTTTCACTAAATCATTCCTTCAGCGAAAATTAATTCCAAGCGAAAAAATAAAGTATTCCACAGTATTTGACTTTCTTGAAGAAACTAGCTAAGTTCCAAATTTGCTTAGAGAGAAAACTATTCTAACAGAGGTGCAAGTGAACATGTCTTCCACTTAGTATCAAGAATTTATGGAGAAGTGATTCGCAGTACAAATGTCTTCTGTTCTTACCCGGGCAAGATCTCTATCAGCTTGCTTTCTGTAGCGCCAGAATTTCACAGCTGCTTCTGAGTGAGGCTGTAGAACTGGTTCACCATAGATAAATATGCCAGTGAACACCCCCAGTACCATGACCCCATTAATCAACCAAACAAGAATGGAAGGCAGCAACCATTCAATCCAGCTTTGATCAACTGTTGAGAAAAAACAAGTCAACAATTCTATCAATCAAAGATTGATTACAGAGAGTGTCCGAGCGATTTATTGCAACAAGAAATGATAAAACATCTCCTTGTATTTAAACAATGCATGAAATGCAAACAAGGTAGCTGGAGACTGTTTAAACATGTCAAAGTGTCAGACAAACATGCCTGGGATCTGTACATCCCCCTAGAAAGTAGCATGATTAGGGATTGCTTATTGAAATTTATAACTTAAATTGACTCCAAATGTTAACATTTAAATGCAGTCTATTCCACTGCAAAAAGTCTCACCATTAACGAAAAAATGGATTTATTCATTTTCACTAAAGATGCGATTGAGAAAAAGTTTATCTTATCAGATTATCAGCTAATTTTATACTGCTACTAATATAAGCACGGACAGCAGTGAAAATAAGTCACTGTAAGAATCATTATGATAAAATGAATGAACATGTGGAGCAGAGAGAGCTCAATAACAGGCTGAAATGTAATTTACATAAGATTAGGTGGGAGTAAATTCTTAGGAATTAATGCTTGTTTAGAGGTCAAATTCTTGGCAAGTTTAGACTACAAAAACCACAACTAATTCTGATGGTTGGCATCAACACTATTGAATAAAGTAAGATTAGTACCTGAATCTGTACCCACGCCCATCAAAGTTCTAGCACCACCATGCATCTGCATGTAATCAGGACCACCGCCACCAGTAGCTCCTTTCATCATAGACTTGAATGGATTGAAAAGCAGGACACCAAACATGAACATACATAAAGTCATTCTAGTGCGGTCCAGCATCCCACAGCTACTGCGAGGCAGTTTTTCAGATTTCACTTTTGGTGTGCAGTTTGGAAAGCTATCAGTTTGCTGCATGATAATATCTTTATCATCCTCATCTTCATCATCATCAATATCCTGATCTCCATCATCAAACATCTTGGGGCTCTGGGGATCTGTACAGTTGCTACTAACTGGACTGCGCTCTGGTGACCCAGGATCAGACGGGGGAGGACTGAGTTCACCCAGCGATTCTTGTTTGATGGTAGTTGGAATGATTCCACCTTTAAAATAGAAACAAATTGGAGAAATAATAGATGTGTATCAATATGTATTGATATATCAAGCTACACTTTTATAAATAGGCAGGCAATATTTGCAGGTGTTACTTACTTTTTCCTAGTCCCATTTTTAGCATCATATTCTCCTCCTTTAATTTATGGTTGGAATTCTGCAGGAACTTTATATAATCAATTGCTTTTCTTAAAATTCCAGACTTGTTCATCTGTAAAAAACACAAAAGATGATTGAGCAAGAACTTTGCATTTCTCAAATTGTATAGCATGCATATTCTCAGAAGGTAAAACTTGAGAAAATAAATGTCAGACTTTAACAATATATTCATTCAAGACAAAACAATAAAATATTGTCACACAGAAAAATAAACTGTTGGAACAATCTAAAACCTTCAATTAATTTTTGGTTTAAACAAACTTTTAATAATATGGTTTCTAATAAATTATATGATTCATGAAGAATTGAATAATAATCAAATTTTACCTTTGTATCCCTTCCCAACACCATTTCTTTCAATTCAATTATTTTATCATTTATACTGGATCTATAGCGCCTCTCAATAGCATTATGGGCAGATCTTTTTTCACCTTTTACTAGTGGTGGCCCATTGCTCGGACAGTTTATCCTGCTGATTGGTAGTTTATCTTTTGCCTCAACCTGTATCATGGGGATGCTGGTCAACTGTATATTGGCTGATCCCACAATGGTTTGCAGCGGTGAAGTTGTGACTGTGGTGACCACAGGAATAGAAGTAGCTGTGCATGTTGTAATTGGCTGAGACTGCAGAAGAACCTGCAACATAAAACAAAATATATATTGGAATCTATGACATAAATTACTGTAAAACTTAATTTTTTACTGGCATTAAATTTCAGTATTTTAATGCTTTAAGCAATTTCACTGGATTTTACGTTCACAAACTTTACAGAGGAACAATGACTTCTGTTGCTATTTTACATGTTCACATAGATTTAATTTAGCAGATTTTACTTAAAAAAAAAACAGCAAATAATTTGTGCATTTAAATTTAATTTAAATTAAATCAGATTAGCAGGTAATATAGGTATTGTTATAAATCATGTGAATTATGACAAGCTATATCTCATTATTTTGGCCCCTGGCCATGCTATTAGCCATTCATAAACAAAGTCGTTTATCATTGTCAATTGGGACACACCATGTGTTTCTTCTCTCAATAATGCTGCCATATTTGGATAGAACCAACCTTTTGTTTTTTGATATATTAGCTTCTTCTCTATTTACCGGTACTCACTGGTCAATCAGTTATAGTCACCCAAGTAACATTTTAAACAATGGAAATTCACTCAGTTTTTACAAGGTATTTACAAGGGCTTACAAGATACTATTACTTAATGATCCATTTATTAGTCAGTGGCTATAAAAAAGGGGCGTTTTATTTACAATACGGGACACTCTTTAGCAATTTAGCACATACCTGTTGAAATCTTGGTGATGATGGCTGTTGCAGAGTTTGGTTTAGAAGTTGCTGCTGCTGCTGTGGTTGTGGCTGCTGCTGAAGAGGCTTGGTGCTCAACTGCACCTGTTGCGGACTTGGACTAGCTTTTATAGTTGGTGTGGTTGCAGGTGGAGAAGGCACAGACTGGATACTCAGAGCTGGTGATAACGGTGTACTTGGTGCTGGACTTAAAACCTGAACAGGAGCTACTATATGTTGTTGCTGCTGCTGCTGCTGTTGCTGCTGCTGCTGCTTTTGCTGTTGTTGTAGCTGTTGCTGCTGTTGTTGCTGCTGAGCTAATTGTAAAGTTGCCTGTAGCTGTGTTAGTTGCTGTTGGAGTTGCTGCTGCTGTTGCAGCAACTGCTGCTGCTGTTGTTGCTGCTGCTGCTGCTGTTGTTGCTGCTGCTGTTGTGGCAACTGTACAGGAAGTGTTGGCATAATACAGTCTAAAGGCTCTATTTCTCGCTTCACTGGGAAAGAAGTTGGTGAAAGTAGAGGCTCCTGCAGCGGACTGGTTACCTCAATTGGATCGCCAAATAAAGCATCTGTAGTTGTAGTGGGTTCATCTGAATTGATGAAATTTATCATATCTATAAAACAGAGAAAATTTTTTATGAGGAACTACAGCATGAAAACCGATAATCATGGCATTAATAAGAATAAAAAAACACAGAAGACCTACCTAAAATGTTGATTTAGTCTAAACACATACATAAACCAAAACCACCAAATATCAGCATAGTCAACACCTGACAACATCTTGCCAATTATACAGGGCGGTAAATTCAGTTGAAAAGAAACAAAACTATAACACAGTCAGAAGTGAACCTGCCAGTGATGAAACCCAAGCAGAAGTACCAGGACTCTACCTTTCTCAGCTCTTTTTAAACCGAGCTCATTATGATTATTATATTCAATCATGCCATGTTCAGAATCAACCAATCACAGAACGACCTGCTTCAAACATGTCACATTTTCTCGGTAATAACTCAAATTGGTCGCCTTTAGCAGATTTAGGCACAGATAAAAATAATTAAGAACGCCAGACCTTTTCATTCGTGAAAAGTCGTGACCGAAACTAATTGATTAATATTAAAAAAAAATATGAAATAGCAGCAAAAAAAAAAAACACAGACGTAACCAACTCAATAAAAAATGCGGAAGTGCCCAGTGGTGCAAAATGCCAGGTATTATTGAGAATGTGGAGAAGGGGAATATTGATTAACAGTGGGAAATTAAAAGTAAATTGTACATAAAATATTGCGTTGTACGTTAAAATCATAATAAGATACGAGAACATTCATTTTGCAACATGAACTTTTGTCGCGATGTTGATTGGCGTTGCTATCATTCATTGACATTGGTAAAGAAATACGTACATGGTTACTTTTTGCAGCGCGGAAAACAATGCAAGATAAAAAGAAAACGAAATATAACATTTGAAGTACAAGTATTTACACTACAAAAAGAATCGCGCTGGAAACTGAATTTCACTTCGATACTGCGACTTTTTTTCAATAACTTGAATAAGGTCAATGCCCGTAATCAGCTGAGTTTTCAGTATCAACTGCACAGTTTACTATCACTTCCCGAAACGTATGGGCATGCATGATATCACTCCAACTAAACACTGAATTTATACACCAAAAATAAAATATGTTTTCTTACCGTCTAAATCGTTGAAGAGCACATTATCAAACTCGTGTGTCGTGTCCATGGTCGGTCCCAAGTCCTGGACAGCGTCCGATGCCGACAACCAAGGACTGTGATCGGCCATTTTTGTTATTCAATGAGTAAAAGCTTTGTAGCACCACGGAACTGAGCCAATCAGGGTTCAGAATACGATCGTACGATCTGACGTCATTTACAACTTCATGCTAATGTTGTTTTCGACTTCCATGCAAATGTTCGGGGTTGGAGGTCGAAGTTAGGAGTTTTGCATTCCAAATGTTATTGAGAATTCCAGCATAATAGTTATATCATTCATTTTTTTTCATTAAAATACAATAAAACTATGAAAGATCGAAATTTGGCGACGATATTTCGAAGGTATCTAAAATTACTATCACGGTGACGTTGGATATTTCTAAATTTAGACTATGAAGTCATGTGCTATTTTTACATGCGCAGTGCTTGATGCGCGAATTGCATTTCTCTGTCCAGGGTGTGATTGGCTGACGAGACGGGTATTGGGCAATTTTCTGAGTGTGACTCAGCTGCACGATTTCGTAAATTGGAACCATCTGGTTCTCTAGATTTGTGTATAAATACATCAGATCCAACCTCCAGAAACTATTACTACTGATGACAAGCATACAGACAAGCATCTCAAAGAAGACTATTATTGCCAATACAGTGCGAAAAAATCATTCGACGGGAGAAATCAGCTACAGGTACGTCACCTCGTCCGGACACTTTGCTGTTGTTTATTTACATCATTTCGTAGTTCAGCCAACGATATGTATGGTCGTATTTCTAGACTATGTTTGTCAATTTTCACGATCATTATGATTCCGCTAACAACGTACATGTGATTTCATCCGTATTTTTCAAACATCAATCTCCATAACTTAACAACCTGAGTGTAATAATTTGTTTTCCTTTTCCCTGCAGTATGAACATGTCTATTACAGTGAAAGCATATTTGCAGACTGCCGACGACAGTCAAGAAATTCGTCGATTTGCTGTGGATCAGGGTGCATCCACAAGCTACGAGTACCTGTCTACGAAAATAACACAGGTATTCCCATCTATTGGAAGATCGGATTCATTTACCCTCTCATACAGAGGTAAGTAGCAATGACAACTGTCAAATGGCAATAGATCATATATTTGTTGGTTAGTTTTAGCAGTACTGTAAATTACTTTATTTTTACTTGTAAATTGTTGTCACTGAAAGGGAGAATCACTGAAAATGGAATCTAGCGAAAATGCCTTTTTTTCCTGTATTTTTACACCAACTCATCAAATATCCGTGAAAATACAAAACAGCAATAATGTCTTTTCAGAGAAAATTAATTACAGCTATATAAAATAAAGTATTTCACAGTTCTCTTTGGTACATGTATATGCTTTTCCCCATTCAGGTTTGATACCAATAAGATTCACAGCTAATATTAGGTGTTGTATTTGTATATTATCAATCTCAAAACTGCATTGAAAACTGTAGAGGATGCAAATGGTCATACTCTTACTTTTGACACTACTGTTGGTTCCCTTGACTTTCAGTTTTTCTGCATTGAATAGCCAGAATTTCTGTAATCTATTCTAGCTGGTATGGAGATTTATTATGCTTATCACTCTTTTGTGATTTTGAATAGGAAACAGAATTAAACACATGTGATGTGAATATATATATATATTGATTCAAAATTGAATCACAGTTTGCGATGATCACATTTATAAGAACAAAGATCAGTGCTGAAAATTGTGAAAAATGTTCACCCTTTGACATGAAGGGAAAACAGAAATAATTAGGAAAACCTTCATTTTACACCATGCACTAATGTGCATAGTAAAATTTTGAAGAATTTTATTTCTATCTGCGTCATTGCTGTGTTGTGTCAGCTGCAGTAGTCATATTCTATTTCTAATTATCACATGACATGAACAGCCTGCCTAACTTAATCGAAATTGTCAACAAACCATTACATTGCAAAATTGAAAGGCAGACATTTTTTAATAGAATGAAATAGCCAGTTTTTTTTTTTTTTATATTATATTAGAAATAAATAATAATTAATATTTGTGGATGTTCAGAACCTGTCCTCAAGCATACAAATAAACAACAACCTGTCCTGTTGGCATACAAATAATTAAATTTTTTAGTGAAAGTAAATTTGTGAACTGCAATTCAACTAAAAACAAAAAACTGCAGTGACACATTAGTTATATTTCAATTCTCTTGGATATTTCAGATAGTGAGGGTGACTTGATTGCTTTCTCTAGTGATGAAGAATTAGTTGACGCTCTTGGTCAGCTCAGTGAAGATATCTTCCGAGTCTACATCAAACGTGAGTATCAAACATGCCTGTATCTATTTTAACTGGAATGAGGTGATGGATGATGCAATCAAAATTGAAGCATTGCATGATGGGAGAATTTGGTTCTATGACATCATACACTGATTTTATTTATAGACTGATTGTAATATTCATTCTTCTATAAAACTCTAATCGTTATTTGATCTTTATGTTTTAAAACTGTTCACTTTTAATTTTAGTGACTGGTAAAAAAGTCTCCCATGATGAGTCAAAATGTGGTGAGAAAGTCCTTCATCCCGGGGTGATCTGTGATGGATGCGAAGGTCGAATCTTTGGACCACGTTTCAAGTGTGCGGTGTGTCCAGACTATGATCTGTGTAAAGGGTGTGAGGAGAAAGGACTTCACCCAGATCATGAGATGATTAAGATTCGTAAACCACAGATTGGTCGTAGCCATATGGGGGTGAGTTGGTTTAAATGATCTTTTATGAGCATTGTGTCTGATATTTCGAATTTAAAATTGATTGTAGTAATTGTAGAGTAATTGACTCGTAGTTGAGGTTCCATGAGACATGGCATCCTTTGCTTTCAGTTACATGTTGTATTGGACTCCATATTTTACACAACATGTCTTGTCCAAACAGGGATTCTCCTTCCGTCCTGGTCTCTGGCAACTCTTTGCTGGTGGTTTACGTCCCAGAATGGCTCAGGAATGGAACCGTATGTGGAGACAAAGAAACCAAGAACAAACAGAGAAGTGTCCTGAAGGTGATGCACCAGCCGAAGAAGGCGCTTCTGAGAATCCAACTGAGGGGGCCAACCCACAGGAGGAGTATCTGAAAAATGTTGGTGATGCAGTGGCTGACATGTTGGGACCATTTGGTAAGTTGATTTACGGTAACTGATACAATTTTGGGTTACATTCCCGTCACCTCACTTTTCCTTACATCTTTTGCTATATCTAGTTGGATTAATTCCTCAGTTTATCTCACAAAGACATTTTTTTTCAATTAATTTTAAAGCAAACAAAAAACATCGTAAAAGACCACTCATAAGACGTTTACCGCAACGAAACCTAAAGAGAATTCATAAAGTAGCAACATGCACTGGCTTAGATTACATGCGACCAAGTCCTCGTACAGGTCGTTGTTTTCCCAATGCAGACAAGACAGAATGGCTACAACGACATAAAGTGAGGCGACATGGGGGAAATTTTTTCCCAATGCCTAGATCTTTTAAATGTCATAGGTTCATTAGAACCCATGTACCCCTAGGACCATCTGGTTTCTCTGGTGGCAAACGATTCAAAAGGTTTCACCAAGTGCAGCAACTGAAACAGCAGAGAAGGGGATTTTACCCGATAATAAGACCATGCAGAGATCAAGACATTAGTCCCATAATACCCTACCAATTCTGTGTCTTCAGTGGTAAACAAACCAGAAGATGTCAACAAATACATTGTCCTAGAAGAATGGCAATGTTCAATGAACGGAAACAACAACTATCAATGTTTACAAAAAAAGGTGCGGTTAAAAAAAAATAGATATGTCAAGAACCTTAAAAATTGTGGTTTCTTAATATTCCAACATAACATATTTTATAATAATTTGGATTTGTTTTCACAGGTATTGATGTTGACGTTGATGTAGAACACCATGGTATGCGTAAACGTTGTGGTAAAGGTCCTGGTCCTGGTCATCCATGGGGAAGAGGTCCACATGGTTGTGGTAGAGGACGTGGAGGTCGTGGTGGTCAAGGTGGAAGATGCCAACGTCGCAAGGCTCAAGCTGAGGCAAAAGCTGGTGCTGCTAAAGAAGCAACTTCAACTGACAACCAAGAAGCAATGAATGAGAATACTCCAAAGAATCATGAAGAAACTGCTTCACCAATGGTAAATTATGAATTACTATACATAACTCTTCACATTACAGCCTATGATTTGCTGTTCCCAACATATTAAATGTAATTTTACAAGACTAAATAAATAACCAAAATTAATATATTATATTTTCAGGGTTTGATAAAATTTTTATTAAACTACCCAATTTATTTTGTATATAAGATATTCATTTACGTTTGACTTGCAGGAAACTGATGTTCCTGCCAAGGAAGGGCAAGGTGGATCTAGTGATGAAAATGATTGGACAGTTGTACAAGACCCGGTCAGTTCTGCACCCCAAGATGGCACCCCTGCAAAAGGTAATTGTTTTTTGAACTTGGATCAAGATCATATTGTTACATTGAAAGTGGGGATAAATAGCATCTACCATGCCAGTCATGTTTCTAAAGTGTTGTTAAATCTCATTACAGATAGTGGATTAGCACAAGCATTGAAACAGATGAAAGCTATGGGGTTTGATGATGAAGGTGGTTGGTTAACTAGCCTGTTAGAAGCCAAGGGTGGTGATATTGGTCGTGCATTGGATGCTATCAAGATGGGCCATCACGCAAAGTGAACATACCCACTACAATGGAACCTACATTGTGACTTGACATGGATTTGCTGATACTGATTTTATCCACATTATAAATATGTTTTTAGCTTTATCATTATTTAGGTGTATTCAAATGTGTTGACTTAATTGATATGCGCTACAAATGACCCAGTGACTGATAACATTTCACAAAACATCTTTCTGAAAAATGCAATTTGAACCATTTGTTTTCGATTATGATTTGGATTCTTTTTTTCTCTCCAAATTTTAAAAATTAGTTTTGAAATGACTGCATTATTTATTTATTTGGATTTATGAAGATGAGACCAATAATGCACGTTTTCAATTGTTTAATTAATACGACCAAAATATGGCAATATATTTAGAGTATATTTCACTGTTAAACCATCAGTGGGAATTACAGATACAAATTATATTATGCCAATTATAAAGCTGGCACATTTTTAAAATGTCATCACTGGGTCAGTCAATATTAATCGTATATAACCAAAAAAAAAGGACTGGCAGGAACCCATGAATGTTTCCTACAATAATGAATAACAGAATTCTACTGTTTACCAGTTAATATAGCTTGTGTATGGGAAAGCCTAGGAAAGGAAAATCATGGGTTCCATGCAGTGTGTCCTTTTTATTATCGTTTGTGGAAGGCAGACAGACAACTATTTTCATATGCCTCGGGACACTTGACCCAGCTATCAAACAAATGTTTAGCTGGTCATGTTGGACCGAAACTCTCAAATTTCAAATTGAGGGGAAAAGTAGGATGGCTGTCGGTTTTATTGCACGGACGAGTCAACACTGCAATACATTTTGGTGATTGAGTCTCAGCATTGGTTGTTTTCATCAATATATTGCGTAGTCAGTAGAAAGCATTGACAAAATGTTGAGTTTCACAGTTAAGAAGAAAGGCCAATATTCCACCAAATAAAGTTATTTACCTGGAAATCTGTTTACATTAAGAGATTTCATGAAAGCACAAATAACTTATTGCCACATAAATAAATTTATCAGAGTTTTAAGGAAATGGTATTTAATTTTTTAACTTTGTATGGATTTACCGCATGGGTATTAAACTGTTGAAACTTACATGCTTTGTTTAGAATTTTTTTTGTACATCCCTGGATTATACCTTATCATTCTTTGCTGTGTTGCCCCTGAAGTTAAATCTGTTGTACAATGGCCCACTGTCACTTCTACAATTATTGATTTAGTAAGTCTTATTGATATAGTAATATTCAATACGTACATCCGTTATGCAATACAGAAGCAATGGTCCTCTGTCAATTATTGAAATAGTCGATACAACTTTCTATGTTATGGACATTTTCACCCATATATGAATCATATACACATCTCAAAAGTTCATTACCACTTTGAGGGCATATGTATTCTGGTTTCTTAACTTAAGTCATATTGACACAGCGCCCTCTAGTGTCAGTGATTCACATAATAAGCAATTTGCATCAGGTGGTATGAAAAAATAATGTAGCCAGACAGTTATTTATTCACCCTATACCTAAATTTGATTTTTTCAAGAACATTCTTGATACTTTTGATGCAAACTCAGAATATGATTTGAAAAATGATGAATTTCGAACATTGCAGTAAGGAAAGAAGCAAGCATCCAAAGCATAGTGTGAATATTTCAACAGGATATTCAATTTTCAAGATATATTTTTATTTGATATAAAATAATACATTCAATGATCTTGTACATGCAAGCATTATAAAAATGCATTACCTAGAGATCTAATCAATAGGGGTACCCTTTTTAATAATGTGAGACAATCAGAAAATAAATAGCATCTTGCAGAAAACAACAAAGTAAACTACAGTACCAGGGGTAGTATAGTTACTATTTGAGCATTTACCAATCTGGACGGTAAAAAACAGGTATGTTGACTGTATCGGTCTTGAAATGAACACATTAAGCAGGGTACATGGACAGGATTCATGTGATACACATGCAAGTCATGGGTTTGTGTCTATGGTACTGACAATTGAAGGATAGAAATATTTACTGTTGCATTCATTTTTTCTACTGTACACTGTACAAAAACACTTCCTGTATCTATTTACCAGGTAGGAGGGATGTATCAACACATTTCAAGGCATCTTCCTTAAATCAATATTTCTTCAATCAAGCAGCATAATATTAATTATATCAATCCCTATTCATTCTCAACACAATAGACTGAATGTTAAATTGAGAAAAAAAACTCGTACAGTATGGATAACAGTTTGTAAATAAAGTGAAGGGGAGGAGTGTCGCAATATGTATCACTGCACACCATGTTAATAAACTCACATTATAAAAGCACTGAAATGCTTTCAAGTTTTATACAAAATAAACAGTCAATTACAAAATATTTACAGCCTACATTTTAAGAACCTCTGTATAAAACATCCAAGTGGGATGCTGAATTAGAACACACAAGGGCTATACTGCAAACAGTCCTATGTAAGTTTTTGTTCTTCAATCGATTTCAAATGTTGTGTGTTCTTAAAAGAATTCCTCTTATTTAGTATTTTGTTTATAAAATGATATGATTTATGTACAGTGGAATGCTTGCATATACAGAGAAATTAGTTATATTTTCAATCTTTCTTCTCATTTTCCTCTGTCTTTTCTTCTTCCTTATTCTCACTTTTTTCTTCCTTTTTTTCCTCTTCCTTCTTCTCCTCCTTTTTCTCTTCAACTAATAGAAAGAACACGAATTTCAATAAATAAGAATTGTCATAACCAAGGGAAAGGAGTCTAATGTTTTTGGCTAAGTAAAAACGCAATGGCTGCCAATCAGCGGATTGAACACTATCATTTCTGCTGCCAAATTTTTTTTGCAATATTTGCCACATTTTTATTTTCCATAATTTATTATTTTAGTGCAAATGAACATACATGTAGAGTACAGTACTGGTCTTAATCAAAATTTTGAAGTAAAAAAATGGATCAATTTTGTGGAAGGTGACAAACATTTCATTCACATAGTCTTCCCCTTTAATTATATTTTTAAGAAAGTTAAACAAAATTAATTCACTTTACATGTACCAGTAAAATAGGTTGAGAATAACAGAATAATCAAGACGAGAACTTGAAATCAGTTTTTCCTCAACAGTGTGTCCTAAGTCGACAAGATGTGTCACTGACACACACAGATTTGCTAGGAGACAACTAGTTGTGGTAATTCACTAGGGCATTATTGACGCAAGAGAAAATCATACATACGAATATTCCTTCCACAATATATTTACCTTTGGGAGGAGGGCTATCCTTGACTGGTTCAGCAAACTGCTCACCACGTCCATTCTTGTATAAAATCAATGCCTCCAATCTTTTCTTTGAGGGTTTCTCAACACAGTCAGTATAGTTAAGTAAGATGCGATGTGCACTGGCAATACCATAGTGCACCCTTGTCTCACTGGTACCTAAGTTATCACCAGTGCTACGTGCTATGTTGTAAGCTTTTCCAAAGTATTCAGCCGCTTTCAGGTACTGGCCCTGTAATAGAAAAATTATTTTAGATTATTTATAACATGAAGTAATAAAAAAAAATTACCTAACCAACAAGTAATTTAGCAAAAAAGGTATTATTTAAGTTGTGACATATAACAAGTGTCTTTTGTAACATCACAACCATTGCAGCATTTGAAGTAATACAGACTTCTACAGACTATCTATGAAGCTTTTACTGAACAGATAAAATTCACAACCACCAATAATGATTAGACGATGTGGACAAGACAATAAAATCATCAAAGCCCCCTCTTAAATTGCATATACAGGTAGTAAATTGTGGAATGAAACATGAAGTATACACTGAATCATGATAATAATAAGTTCGCGAAACTATCTCTTACCTGTATGTTATATATGGTACCAAGGCAAGCTGATGCTCTGCCAAGTGCTTTTTCTTGCTTGCTTTTTTCTGCCACTTCAACAAACATCTCAAGGTAACGTATAGCATCTTCAGCCTTGCCTTGACTGAAAGTAACAAAATATGTATAGGTACAAAAACAGTTGAATATTTCATGGTCTGAACGAAACTAATATGAGAAACAAAAACATCAAATACCATAATGCTAATATTAATTGTATACTACTGAGATTACTGATAAATAATCTACCCAATAACAATATCAGAGTTTAGATCCACTGACATAATATTTTTGTACATTATTAGCTGTGAGAGAACTATTATGCTAAATGCATCAATTTCATTTCTAAGACACTCAATAACTCATCCTGAAAGCACAATTATAGAATGAGAACATTTAGCCTTGTTGATTAGGTTAAGATAAATATTGTGAACAATTGGAAAATAGATTGAAGTTATTTCTAGATCTTGGCACTTTCTGAGTTCATCATATTCACACTGTACAAACATAATCATTTTCATAGCTGCAGGTGGTGTACCACAATACAAACAAATATGAACAAATGTTCTCTACCACCCTAGCTTCCTGAAAAATATACTCCTATAAATTTACAGGTTTAATAACTTACAGAAAACTACAAACCGATTACATATATTTATGTATAATTCCAGTCACTACTGTAGTTTACATACAATGTACATGTATATGCATGTACTCGTACTTAAAATCAAATATTAGTCACCTTTCATATGCAGCAGCTATGGCTTCACAGGATTTTCCCATACCTTCCTGATCTCCAAGTTGTTTACAGATTTCCATGTAACCTTCATGATACTGAAAGGTAATGAAGGGTTTAATTTAAAGATTAAAATGCATTATTTGCCATGCAGTTTGGAGATTGAGAACATATTGATTACATACACAAAACTACACTAGGAAATAGGAAAATAGAACGTTATGTCAACTGAGTCCTAATCAGTTATAATATAGCAATGTTGTAATATGGTTAAACCATCAAGACTGCATTATTTTATATAATATACAAAGAAAAAGTATACTTCATCGAGACTTCTCATAGTTCTCAAAATCAGAAAGTGAATCAGAGTAAAGTAAATGTTATCAGATTTTTCCCCTTACCATGAGTGCTGTTTCAGGATCTCCAATATCTTTGTATGCTAAACCTAATTTATAACTTGACACTCCTTCTTTAGCTGTGTCACCACCTGAAGAATTACAGGACAAAAATAATGCATTTACAACTTGAGTCTTTGCAAATGCTAGTGATCTAAAATCACCAAGATTGGGTCCAATTCACACACACAGCAAATAAGTCGAGATCCAAACCAAACAAATGAATGAAATGAAAATTGGTTTATCAGTGTTTTGTAGTTTTGTAGTAACAGATTTTGACAATAAATAGTCAGTTAGGAAATGTGCATTGCATTGAAGGTGCAGTGGACGCACAGCAGCAGATGCTGCCCTCTATTGACAAATCTAACATTTTACTTTGTTTTTAACTTACTTTCTTTTGCCATTTCAAACGCCTTCAGCAAATACTGGATTGCCTGCTGTAGATCTTTTTTCTCTGCTTTCTGAAAGTTTTCTGCCATTGTTGTGTACAACCTCATGAGATGATCACATGACATGGCATGCAAACTGCCACCATCTGTTGTTCTCCAGCTTTTATTCCTTGAGCATAGCTTATAAAACGTTTCGAAGTGTTCTGCTGCTTTATCATATACTCCTAATATGCATAACCAGGAAAAGTGAGATTAAAATGACAAATATCTGGCATATATAAATTTTTATGAGGGTCAAAAGAAGAAAATCAAACAAAAAGGTACTGCGAAATTGGTGATTGGACTTACTGTTATGTTCATATCCTAAACCCATATTACAGTTGGCTTCAGCTTCTTTCCGTCGCCCGTCTCCTTTTATTTGTAAGCTAGTGTCAAGACACAATGTGTAAAAATGATCTGATAACCAGTAATCTTCTATTGCTTTAAAATATTCTGCTAATTTATGCTGTGCTGTATAGACTGCCTCCATATTGCCTGCAAGATAAATATGATGATTTACTACATACCGATATACATGTATATTAGGTGTATTATCTTCATTGAAACTTAGTACTTGATATCATAGGGTCAGACAGACTAATACAATCCCACACTGTATGGGCTTAAGTATTTGTTTTTATTTTTCTTTATTTTGCTGATAAGTGACAGCTAAATGCGCTAATTTAAAATCCAGTGAATCTTGAAATTTAACAATAGAATGTATTGTTTTTACAAACCAGTGAATTCAATGCATGTCTGCAACATCAAATCTGTTAAAATTAAAACCAATGAATATTTTTTGTTCTACAATATTTATGTGTAGAGTGCAAATAAAAAAGGTACAAAAATGAAAATTATGTGACTTTATCAGAAAGAGACCTCATGTTAATAATGGTGTTAATGAAATTCCTGGTTGGCACAATGGTAGACATTTAAATAGCTGCCTGAATGCATAGAGTGCATGGTGCCCTGGACAGATGCATGTACATGTATACACTTTTCTGACGCTGAGCAATAATTGTAATTATAAGAGATATTACTGCATAATACAAGTTAAAAATGATTCTGTGCAGTAGCCTGTTACTGTATGCACAACGTTAACTAATATTTTGACCAGATTGCTATTAAACTTTGTATTATTGGATATATTTAGTTAGTAGCCTTCACTGTATGATGTAGTACGTTAGTATGTATCATATCAAATGCAACAATTACAATATTTGCAAGATATCCAGCTAAGAAGTTCAATGCAAACAGCTGAACATCATTTACTATGCATTTATGAGTATCATAAGATATCACTACGACCACCACATTACACGGAATGTTCTGACTGACATTTCTAATTCAGGCTTTCAATTAAAACAATGACGTGAAGCATTCCCCTTATGATTTGTTCAACGAATATCTGCCACTTAGATTTTTCTGCTTGGTGCCTTTAGGACCATTTATTCTAACTTCATACGAGGAATCTATTTTCCACTACCACTGCATCCAGGAGTTGTGTTGAGCGTGTACAGCAGCAGGATCCAAGCCCACGTTGCATGCACAGATTTTAGGTTGTCCAGATAAAAAAGAACTCATGGACATTGTAAATACTGATTTTAGTTCATTGCTAATTTTACTACTTAAGTTAAAGACTTAAAAGTATTGCTCTAGCTGCCACAGTATTTGCAAGCCATGCACAGGAAGCCTTATTACTGAACTTATACTGTAATTTAAAACTTTATTAAGAAGGCTTTTACATAAGCGGGTGTGATTCAATAGACATTTAATATACTTACTTAGCCTGAGTGCAGCTTCTGCTTCTGTAAGGTATTGTTTTAATTTGTCTAATTTCTCATATTCATCTTCTAACAGTGTTAAATTCCATATTAATGAATCTGGACCTGCTGCTTCTCTTTCTGCTTTCTGTCGTTTGATGAGAGCAAATAGCTCAGAGAAAGATCTATGGAAACCATCTTTTAACATTTCTACGCACAATGTGTGGAAGTATGTATTCCTGTATCTGTAAAAATAATGTGGAGAAGAATGATTGGTGAAAAATAGTCTAGGACTAGGAGCATTATTCATTTACATGTACAAATGCGACTTTGGAAAAGGGCTTACACATTGAATCACATGCTTGTGTTTGGCATCGTAAATAACTTATTTTTATGGTTGAGTGGTTTGCCCTTCAATATAATAAACTGCATGAGGTCAGAGACCTGAAAAATTAGTGTATCAAAAAAGGAGTTCTAACCTAGCTGTGTCCATGTGTGAAAGGTCTGGCTGTTTTGCTCGTAGCATTTGCTGTTTTGCTTGCTGTTCTCTTTCCCTTTTGCCTATAAGTCTCTGTCCTGGTCTGTAAGTTGATCTGGAAATGCTTCCTGTACTAATTTTGCTGGGAGGGCTTGGCACCCTGTGTTGTTGTATTGTTTGTAATCCAGGGCCATGGCCCTGCCCTGGCGGGATAGCTGGCAGTGGTGCTGCCATTTTTATTTAAAAAAACTGAAAAATAAAAATGATGAAAGATTAAATCATTAATGGAAATACACAATATAGACCAACCCATTCCCTATATCACACTGGGCACAGTTGTTCAAAATTGTTGATTATATACTATATCAGATTTTATAAGTAAATATCTACTTTTAATGAACAGACTGAACTTAGTAGACTCGCACACAACATGACAATGATCAAAACAAACTGTTGACATTTGAAAGAAAATCACTGAACATTCTATCAGAATGGCACATTTAGCAAACTCTGAGCATTTTTTGTGTAACAGACGAAGCAATTTAAGTCAAAAAGTAAACGGAAGCCAAAAATTTATAATTTGGATTATGCAGTAATAATTAAGACTTCCTACCCCAGACCTGAATCCTAACCCGAACAATCAAGCCCCTCCCCAATGTAATTCAATATGCCCCTCCAAATAACTATAAGTGACCTGAAGAGGTGCACATGTATATACAATTGAAATAAGGGAGAGGCACTAGACGGGCATGGTTGAGATTAGAGTTATGAGTGAGGAGACACTCAGGAACTAACAGGAACAAAATTTGTAAAGAAAAGAAAACAGTGAGCTCCATGATTAGTTTTTTTTTTTCGCCACAAATTATATATACAATGCCTATTATATATTTTCACAGTGTGAACATTACTGTAGCCATGGAAGGTAGAAGGTCTACCTTCCATGATATCACAAAGCGTCATCAAGTGAAATCATCAACTATTTGGGTACGATATCAGAAATTTTCAGACAGAATGTAAACAAATCTGAACACCGCGATTCAATATTTAAAAAAATATGAGCTTCGAAAGAGAACCCACACACTCGAATGTTATAAAACGTATAAAAGTAAAGTCGTATAATTAATATATGTGTTACCAGCGACATTTGAATTTAATAAAACGAAGAAAGTAGAACAATACCTCTTTCGGCTGATGTTCCCGAATTTCGAAGTTCTACTAAAATCCAATATGGCGGACTATGTTCCTTGTTGCTATGAACACCATATCGGCCTCTTTCACAATAGTTTTATTAGACGGCTACTGAAACATAACTCACATAGCATATAAACATTAATTCATTGCTGTATATTATTATTAATTACTAAAAGGAGTTAATATTTTGAATGACAAACTTATCGCCACCAGTAGTTTGGATGAAATGTGGTGAATGAATAAGTTAGTGAACGAGTTGATCAAACGAATTCTCGCGTGAAGTGCGACAACCTTTGAACTTTGAGTTTATTTATTGACATAATACTGACTTTGCAGAGACTCTGCATTTGCATTTCAGCTAAATAAATTTGCAGCTTTATGTACGATGTACTGAAACGTACTACTAGTATTTAATAAAACCACCACAGCTATGGGTAGCTTGTTTAGCAAGAGCAATGAAGACGATGACCCTAAACAGTAAGTAAGATGCGATATTCAATAAAAGGGATTTGCTTCAGGGATTTTTTATCATGCATAGATGAAATTCACTGGTAATTAATTGTAAGTACATACGGAACAACAAACTAACACATTTAATTTATTTATTAACACACAACATCCCCGGGGGGTGAAAAGGGTTACAAATCAGATATTAGTATAAGAAAAACAACTACATAAAAAGTAAATAAAATAAAAAAAAAATAAAAAAAATAAAAAAAAAATGATAGAAATTTGTATACAAGGAATGTGTTACTGGCTTAGTTTATGTAGGTGCTGCTGTCTTGTATTAAAACAGTTTTTTAAATATTGTGCTAAAGGAATTGACATTTTCTCATCACTTAGTAATGATATGAATTTATTTTCATGACTAAATTTGTCAAAATTTGGTATACATTTATTAGCTTACAAGCTACAATGTAAAGTTTTAATCTTATTTCATTGTAATGAGGACAATTTATGACAAAATGTTGTTCATCTTCAACATGGTCATTGTCGCACATATTGCAGACTCTGTCTTTAAAATCCAATCCTGTATGCCGACCTGTTTCAATTTTCAGACAGTGGTTGCCAAGTCTAAATTTGTTTAAGGATTTGCGAAGTTCACCGTTTTTCATAATTGTTAAGTAGTTTTCTTGTTCTATTTTGTTTTAAAAATTTTGTAGGTTCTTAGTTTATTTTTAGAATTTGATTTTCTCCTATTGTCATTATTTATTTCATTTTTCCACTCAGTTGTAAACTCTTCTTTTAATTTCTCATGAATTGTTTTTAATTTTGATAATGAGATACTATTTGTTTTATTTAAAAGATAAGAATGGTTTATATTTTTAGCTCCGCTGTTGACTTTGTCGAGCGGAGCTTATCATATGAGTGATTGTCCGTCGTCGTTCGTTGTCCACCGTCGTTCGTTGTCGTCCGTGTCAATGTTTTACTTTTTCCACTTCTTCTTGAAAACTACAAGCCTGAATGCTTTGATACTTGGTGTATATATATATGTACCTTGGGTGGGCTTCTCTTAGATTTGTTCATTTCATGATGATATCTTCAATTCTCTAATTTTGGTGAATAATTTTGTCATTTTTGGTAAAAAGTGATATTTTCAACTTCTTGTTGAAAATCATAAGTCCAATTGCTTTTATATTACATATATAGGTACTACATGTGAACCTCTCTCAGATTTGTTCATTTCATGATGATATCTTCAATTCTCTAATGTTAGTGAATATTTTTGTAATTTTTGGTAAAAAGTGATATTTTCCACTTCTTGTTGAAAACCGCAAGTCTGATTGTTTTGATACTATACATATTGTTCATTTTCTAATGATATCTTCTGTTCTTTAATTGAAATGTGCAATGCTAACAGCGGAGCTATCTCAGCCGACAGGCTGCTTGTTTAATATCAAATCAAGTTTTTTAAAGCATTTACTTTTAATAATTTTATTGACATAGTATGCTTCTCGAAGTAGAGTATTTGTGGAATTTGCAATACGATTGGCATATGTTATCATTTGCTTCTTAATAAAAGAGTCAAGAGGTAATTTTCCCAATTCACTATATATTGCCATGATTGGTGTATTTTTTGAGATACCAAGAATGTACCGATAGTATGTATGCTGGACATCCTCTACAATTGATTTTCTACAACTTTCTTCTCCCCAAATGTCACTCCCATACACAATAACTGGTCTGATAAGTTTATCAAATAGTGACAGTAGTATGGACATGTCCAGACTACCAGATGTAATTTTGGGCTTTAATGAGAATAAGGCTTTTATTCCTTTTCTTTTTAGGTTTTTCATGGCATCTTTAAATTTACCATTTGGACTCATAATTAAGCCAAGATAATTGAAATCTTTAACTATATTGATTTCTTTTCTTTCATAAAAGAATATTTCCTTGTTAAGGGGTCTGTTACACTTATTCCTGTTATTTTATTATTGAATTCTGTAATTTTGATGGTGTTTTTGAAATTAGTAGCAAATTATCTTCTATATAATTCTTCTAATATCTAGCAATACAGTATAGTGTATTTTCTGTATTTTCCCCATATTTGTTAGTACCTATTCAGAAGGGAAAATCCTGTTTGACGGAATAAGTACAAATTCAATATCGGTAAACAGTTAAATTTTTATTAAAATTCCGTTTACAGTAATACAGACTACACAGCTCCCAAAAATACACGCATGTGACACAAAGTAGTGTACATGGACAGTTCACCAGAAGTTTACCCAGTGCATGTCGGGAGTTTGTCGCACTGCATGCTGGGAGTTAATCATACAGCAAGTTAACAGGGAATTCCGGAATCCTGCTTTTTAGGGTTTGAAAACAGGGATGGGTATCTGCATGGTACATCATGGCTGGGTCGATTACATTCAAACTTCACACACACATATACGGCCAGGATTCGGGAGACATTTGTGCTATTTTATTATTGTTATTAAACTTAGAAGGTTTAATAGCTCTCTCCACTGAAATATTGCATTGTGGGAAAGACTGTTTACCTAGGCTAGTACTTAGTAATATAGAGCTGATTTATTTTTTTTGTTTGAAATCCATGCTTATTAATTACTTAATTTACATAATAATTTGTCAATGTTCAACTTTTCTATTGCTATCTGAAGAACCAGCTTTCAATGAAACTTGGTACATAATTCTTTAGTTCTTGGTTCAAATTCATGAATATTGAATATCCAATTTGCATAACAATTAGCAATATTAGCTGTTTGACATATCTCAAGAACCAGTCATCATTGATGAAACTTGGTATGTAGATGCTCTGGGGTAAGCCACATATTCGTGTCATTTAGGCTTGAATTACTTGCATAGCAATTACCCTAGTCTTCTGTATTGGTTACATTACGTTTGAAAGCCATGTTTAATACTGTGAAATACTTTATTTTTGCTGGAATTAATTTTTGCTGAAAAGGCTTTTTGGGCGTTTTGTGTGGAATTTATTTTCACTGATTTTTGATGAGTTTAATGTGAAATATAGGAAAAAAAGTATATTCGCTGGATTTTATTTTCACGGAAACATCCCTTCAGCGAAAATAGCGAAAATAAATTCCAAGCGAAAATAAAGTATTCTACAGTAGTTACCAAATTTTCATTATTAATTCATTATGTAAGTTTCTAGTATATCAAAAAACAGATTTCAATGGAAGTTAGTTGATAAACCAGACTACACCATAGATGTAAACATTTATTTGTTTTGTTTCTGTTAAGCATTGTTAGCAGAGCTATGATAGTTAATTTTGAATTTCTTTATTTCTTTGTTTTTTTTTTTGCTTTTTAATTATTTTTAGAAACATTTTTGTGGTTGCATTTCTGATGTTCACTAGTTTAATTTGAATAATGCAAAAATAAATCTGCTAAAGCCCTTTGCTTTATGCAACAAAGAATGATAAAGATCACACTGATTATAGTAGAACGTATGATCATTTTTTCCATTGTTATATTAAAATTTTTTTTTCAGAAAGTATCGTCTACGTGATGGGATCACTCTGTATGATGCTGGTGCTAGTCCATGTGGAAGACGTGTACGTATGACACTTCTTGAGAAAGGACGACAGTGGAACACAGTAGGTATTATATACATGAGTGATATAATAATAATATTCATTTTATTAGCTTGCACAATCCTCATTAGATGAAGGGAAAGGTATACATGGGGAAAATGTCTGTCCCCATTGTTGTTGCTGTCCTCGGCATACATGTTTTTTTTTGTGGTTACAATAACAATTTTATATGAACTTTTTCAAACTTGCATAAGTTATTAACCAGTTTGGCCTCTTAGCCAAGTTTAATTTTGTCATGTATAGTACAGTAGTAAAGTCCATGTGTATCTTATCCTGTTCCCAGCTTTAAGCAAGCTGTTTTTAATAATAATAATAATAATAATAACTTTATTACACAACTAAATCATCAGAGGATTTAGTACGGTAAAGAGAATAACAAGACATAAATAAACAAATGTAATAAAAAAAAACTGAAAAAATAAAAAATAAAGAAATATAAAAATAATATTAGCAGACATGCATTTTAGCTACTGTCATCATACAGCACGTGTTCGGATTTCATGTAAACAAACAAAGTAATTTGCATACGTGTGAGTCGCTATGGGTCCCACATCGAACATGATGCAGCATGACGACTGTATAATATCAAGTCAAAAGAATCAATTGATTCTTAAATTGATAATGTAATGTTACACAACATCATCCATGTGCCTTTTGTTAGATTCCTTGCAATCACATTATTGATATATGACAGGTATTGTCTGGCACATGTATGTACACGTTATTATGTACTCGATTTATCACCTTGAATCATGTGTGTGTTTCCAAACAGGTTGAAGTGGATTTGTTAAATGCTGAGCAGAAAACAGCTGAATACTTGAAAATAAATCCCAATGGCAAAGTGCCAGCAATAATTGTACATAACGTGGATGTGAGTATATCTATTTTATACACTAACTTTCTATGTACTTCATTAAAGATAAATAAAGAAATTAAACTTCAATACACATTGCACATAATTGAACTATATATTAATTAATCATACAACATTGACACAACCTGTCATTGTCGTACCATAGGTCTTATTGTATGCATTGCCTTTCCTTCGCACTTACATTGTATGTTGCTTACTGTATTTTTATATTAAAAGCATATCTCCAATAGAAGTGTTGTACACTGAATCATTAAAATATTATTTATTTGATCACAGAAACACTTTTGTAATTTACATTAATATTGCATAAACTATTACATGTAATAAAATTGTGAAATTCATAAATGCCTAAAGATGGTAGAATGGCGGCCATTTTAATCTTAAAAATTTATCTAAATTTTGGAACTGCATCTTGGTCATGTATGGATTTTGTTCAAACTTGGTACATAGTTTGAACATTATGAGACCTTGATGCACATCATTTGGATTCAAAATAGCCAACTGGCAGCCATTTTCTTTTAAATAAATGCTGTTCCAGATGTCTGACCGTTCATGTTAAAACATTATACGTACATATACGTTGTACATCATATCACATGTATGTACATGTATTTGTTTGCTGATCAGATTCAAGATGGCTGAATGGGCACCATTTTAATGTTACAAATTCATTGAAATCTATCATGGCTGCCATTCCGGAACTGGATTTTGGTCATGTACAGATGGATTTCATTCAAATTTACTACATACATTGAAACCTTGATCCATGTCATTTTGTTTTTCAAATCAGTTAAATTTAAAATGACCGTCTTTAGTTATAATGAATTCTGTTCAAGAGCCAAATCTCTGACATGACTTGACTAATCATGTTGAAACATTATTTCATGTTACATGTATGTACATCCTAAGGCACTATCAGATTAATATAATGAGAAACAATTCGATGGAACACACCAGTTCAATTGTACAGCCTTCTCAGGCACCATCAGATCAATTAATATGATCCTAGAGTGTATGATATGAAATTCAATTGGTAACATATGACAAATAATAGTCAGATTAACCACTAGCAATCCAATGAATTATGTTTGTGTATGTAGGATATACCAGACTGTTGTTTGTTTGAATCCAATGTCATAACAGAGTTTCTGGACACTGTTCTGCCAGGAAATAAACTATATCCCAATGACCCCTGGGAGAAAGCTCAATGTCAGAGATGGCAAGAATGGGAAGTTAGTTTAACTGATGTAAGTATTCAGAAAATGTTGTGATTTCTCTTTATTTAATTTATTTAGAGAGAATCAGATGTATCAGAAATACATGTTGCTTTAACTATAATTAATAGTCAGTTGTATTTGTAGTTTGTATCAAGTTTTACTATATAATACCGAATGTTGTAAACAAGATGTCTTCTTAGACACAAATATGGAGTGTCATTTTGCAATTAGCACCTGTGCAAGTTAAGTGCCAGTTACTGTCAATCATGTCTGTCGTTATACATGATAAATTAAAATATGACTCTGATTAATGTATCTTCTCCATTGTAGTAACTTATCATCATTGCCTGTAACTCAACGTTCGATTAACTGTTATTTAAAGTTTGAGTTACTAAATGTGGACGTTTAACAAAAATAAAAATATATGTTGCCCGAAACTTGAAGTTTGTTAAATGTAAATTGGGCTTTGAGTTACAATTTGGGCGTGGTTTTGCAAAAGTGAGTGTGGTCATTTGTACAATGTCATCGTAACTTGATGCTCGTAACACAATGCCCATAACTGAACAATTCGGCATCTTGAAAATTACAAATTTTTTGAAATATTTATTAATCAATAATATGTCAGTAATGCTGTAAGAGGGAATAAACCACATAATGTAACATAATAAAATATCAGTGTTATTTTATTTTTTTGTAATTTTATTCTTTTTCAGGATTTTGTACCATTCATGTACCACAACCTGTTTAGTTTTGTCATCAGAGCTACACAACCAAGCTCTGACAGTGCTTTAAGGGGTAAAGATTGCTCGCAACATTTGCGTGATAAATATGAAAAGTAAGTCTTTATTTTTTTTATTTTGCTCTAGCTATATCTAAAACACAATTTATAAATCCCATGATTGTTCACCAGTGAATGTGCACTCTTTTACAATATCTCAAGTTTTGAACGGATTAAAGAAATGATGAATAAAAATAAACTCTGTTTGTGAAGTGCAATAAAGTTGCGTGAATGGTTTAAAACTTTGCAAAACAACACACTTTGAGCCAAATTCAAATGTTTCATTAGTGAGTATAGTACTGTAAAATCTGTATTAGAAACCGCGGCTTCTATTAAAATGGTACAATGCAACAGAGGGAATGCGGCTTCTATTAGAGCATTTATGCATATAAGAAATACTGAATTTTTGGTTCTCAATTATTCAAAAAAAATGGGTGCGGCTTCTATTAGGGATGTGGCTTCTAATACAGATTTTACGATACTACATATTTTGGAGAGAACTTTTCATTGTATATAATGTCAAACTATCCTCATATTAAAAACTCACTAAATTGTATGTAAGCTTTTTCACTATAATAATATACGACTTGCTCATCCAATGTTGTTGAGCAAAATTTTGAAATACATTAAATTGAAATTGTTTGATCAATTAATTGCACCAATTCTGTTGTATGGAGCAGAAGTTTGGGCATGTGAAATTTCAAACGATATTAATAGTCTTGAACAACGCAGGCATTTTTTCCGGTTCATACTTGGAGTAAATAAAGTAACCTAAACTATAGGTATTAGGGGGAATTAGTCAGAATACCAATAATAATTAAAAGTTGTATTTTACAAATGAAATACTGGTATAGACTTCACACGCTGCCAAATAACCACATCCTTAAATCAGCATTAATTGAATCAATGGAAATAAATTGCTCTTGGATAAAAAATTATGAAAAAGGCAATGTTTTTGTGACTGAACACATTTTGTTCTGAATTATGTATCTAATTTGCATGAGTGTGCTGGCTGCTGTAATTGTGAATGGATCAATTATGCGTCTGAACTAACTTTACAGAATGTATCATGGAACCTACCAATCACCTATTGAGATGGAACAAAGAGCTATTGCATGCTATGAAAATTTACTAATATTAGAGGAAGAAATGGAAGGAAAAGATTTCCTGGTAATTCATTATTGTTTTAATATATTTTGATTTCTCTATGATCCGAACTGAAATTCACAAAAATAATTGATTGATGAAACCTAAACTAAAGAAAATGAAGTTGTTTGTTCACTGCATTGTATTGTCAAATGTTTGTCAGAAGCTAAAATTGCAAGAAAGCTCACCACAAATATATTACATGTACTTTTTAAACACATTTAAATTTTGTATTGTACCGGAGGTACATTACTTGGGGTTTGCAACTATGGTGACATAATACCAAGATCCCGGTACAATCTCGCATGAGCATTCCAACTCAGAAAATTGCGAGTGCGCATGCCCGAGGTAACTACGATATTTGGATGTCCAGGTGGATCAAAATAGCTGCCCACGATATGACTGATTACAAGAACTATATTTTCTGTACATTTTCGATGTATTACATTTTTCACTATGATAGTGGCAAGAAAAGTTTTATTTTTTCATTACAAACCTTGAACATTGATATATATCATGTCAGAAGGTCGTAGCCTCAGTCTCGCTATCTATGAGAAGAGGCTTGAATGGGATCTTGACATGATGTCACCATACAGTACTATGCGAGTTGCAAACCCCAAGTAATGTACCTCTGATTGTACATAGTGTACAGTGGTTTAACATTTTCATTTGTTTGTACATTTACATATTGCATAATTAGATAGTCTTTGGTACACTGTACTATCATTTCAGGTAGGTGAGCAATTTACGATTGCTGATTTATCAGTATTTCCAAGAGTTCAAATGTTTGACATAATGGGACTGCCGATCACAAAGCAGCATTTCCCCAACGTTTCTCGTTACATCAATAAACTTGCAAAAAGGGAATGCTTCCAGAAAAGTGTGAGCCTCAAAACAAGGATATTGGATCTTGTCATTAGATATTTGTCACCACTGTTGGTTGCCATTGGAAACTGGAGAAGTGGAAAAAGACATCAACGATTTAATGGGATGACTGTAATAAACAGGTATGTTAACAGAGCTTGATTCAACATTGCTGCTGGGTTAACATTTGTTTCAAATCATTCAATTATATAGATATATGCTTTCACTGCAGAGTTCTTTCAAACCGCAAAAGTTGCACAAAAGAGAAGATCACGTCCATCCCTGCTACAGAAAAGTTTGTCTTGTATGAGTATTCAACAGCAGCTGAAAGTTTAATCATGAAAATATTGCTAAAGGAAAAGGTGAAAATGTTCATCGTTTACATTTACCATGATTATTTACCTCAGAAGTCACCAAGTGACTGCTGCAGCTTTCAATTACTTTACTTGTAGTTGGAATGCCCTTTATGACTGTTAGTTTTAGTAATTTAAGTTTATTATTATATTGTTTAATTTTCTTAATTCAGTGCTTCAATATTTCACTATGTTTTTGTCTCTAGGGAGATACTAGTTACACAACTGTTTCATGTGATTTCATTGACTTGATTGGTAGACCCAATGGATCTGGTGGACTATTCAGACTACAACACAATGATAGGTTGGTTACTGGCATTAAGACTATGCTAGAATATGTCAACACTGTAGCTACAGGCAAATGTAAGTTTATATATTTTGTTATTGTTTTTTTATTCTCTGGTTGTTTTATAATTACATCACAAAGCTTTCTGAATTAGAGTCAGAATTGCTTATTGGTAAATACACACTTGTGGCTGCTCTTTAATACTACTGTTTGGTGGGACTCACAGGCACCATCACGATTACTAAAAGAATACACAGCGCGACACGCATCCTTGAGGGATTAGGCAGATTCACACCTCTTAATAATAGTGTTTCCTTACCGTCTTTTTTAGTAACCGTGGCACAATTAAGACAAAATGTAATTACAAAAGCTGCATCAAGTTGTAGCACTATTGCAATAATTATGATTTATGAATGGCCTTAATTGTTGGAATGTAAATTATAAGTGGTCAATGTATTTTAATTAAAAATCACGTTGTGATTAAAATAGGCCCCACTTGGAGTTCAGATGTCAGTTTCCATAGTAAAAAAAAACTACTTTTAATTCTTGTAAAATGTATGATCTGTTTAGTTCATATTTAGTCATCTGTGCAAAGCTGTGATATTTAAATGTTTAGTTCATGGTAATGTTGTACGTGGTAATTCTTTTTCCAGCTTTGTACCCATCAGATCCTGTATTGAAAGCTGAATGTCAATGTTGGCAAGCTTGGGACCAAACTCTAAACTGGATTGAATTTAGTATTTTATTAGAAACAGATATGGTGTCTCTAAAACTGCATGAAAGGTAAAACCTTGAAATGGTTTAATGTGAAAACCACCTACCACGACTAAATTTGTCAATGCTATTTTTTACTCAATTTAGTCATTATGCAAATAGATAATACATGAAAGTTGACTTTGTTTTGTGACAATTTATTTTTTAACTCAAATTAATATTGCACATTTTTCTAAACTTGATTTAACTGACAATTTTGTTCATAATTAGAACCCGATTTGCGAATCATTCTTGAAGTTTAAAAAAATGATTTTATGTATATAAATTTAGACTTTGATTACATCCATGAAATTAAAATAAAACTTACCCCCCATGTTGAATATCATCTGTGTACACTATGTAACTTTTTGATATTTCATATCATGTATACAACATGTCATTTCTATTATTAGTAAAACAATCCAATCCAAGTGCTGCAAACTTTATCAAATCTAGAGTCACATAGTGAACTAGTCTGTTCAAATTCAAGTATAATTTGCTGTAAATATTTTTATTGTAACAAATTTACAGAAAATCTTGCAATGGAAACTGTTACTTTTGTACCCCCCAACCCTAACCCCAACTCTAACCCTACCCTCTATCGCTACCCAATTTAATTGTGTACGCCTATCCTAAGGACACCTGTAGTTATCTAGAATTGCATATACAATTGAATCGGAGGGCTCGGATTCAAGAAATTGATCGTAAATCTTGGAGCATCAATTGGTTCCTGTTCTAAACTTTATCATTTCATTTCAGATTTACAGAAAAAAACATTGAAGAGCTCCTCAATTTGAAGAGTAACATGAAATATCATGCGAAGTTTGAAAATATCATGGCATTGTACATGTCAAGGTAATTCAGATGCCATCTAATTGACATACTTCGATCATGTGTTCCACATTGATACCCAACAAACTCTAATTGACATGCTTTGATCATGTGTTCCACATTGATACCAAACAAACTCTAATTGACATACTTCATGTGTTCCACATTGATACCCAACAAACTCTAATTGACATACTTCATGTGTTCCACATTGATACCAAACAAACTCTACTTGACATACTTCATGTGTTCCACATTGATACCCAACAAACTCTAATTGACATACTTCATGTGTTCCACATTGATACTCAACAAACTCTAATTGACATGCTTTGATCATGTGTTCCACATTGATACCCAACAAACTCTAATTGACATACTTCATGTGTTCCACATTGATACCAAACAAACTCTACTTGACATACTTCATGTGTTCCACATTGATACCCAACAAAC